TGAAATAAAGCATGACTAACCACGTTGCTTAGCAGTGCATTATGAAGGCAATTTTTTCTATGCACAATACAAATGAAGCTTTAATAGAAAGCAATTTAGTGGAAGCTACATGGTCACAAACACTGATATAATCAGGATCAGCCCCAAGGCCTGAGCATACTCAATTTATTAACAGAGATTGATAAAGCTGTATGATTTAAATGTTCTTTCATTTGTCTTCCAACACAAAACAGAAGGGAAAAGGATATACTATCAGAAAGCACTTTGCCTTCTTTGAGGCTTTATTTATCACATACAGTAACTGATTGATTGGCAGTAATAATGCATCAATAGGAACTAAATGGAATACCTCCAGATCAAGGAGCCCGTGCTCTGATATTTAGAGATTCTACTAGCATAACCATGCTACTAAGATCAATGGATTTGACAATAATAGGTTTGGTTTTAACATGGGGGGTAGGTTTGGTGATGGAAGAATATATAAGCTTTTTGCTGGATCGGATGTTAAAACAGGCATTGCCAAGAGAAACTAAAACATCCAACCCCTAAAAGTAACAAGCCCTCTCCTGCCCTGAACAGAAATGAACGTTGCCAACAAGTGTCTGCAGATCCCCAGATTACGTAAGCTTTCCAGTATGTGAAGATTCTCTTTCTGTTCCTTGCCCAGGAAATGAAGGAAGTGCTCAGAAAGCTGTGATCAGAGAGTGTGCACTTCCCCTTCAAAGGCAGAACACTCGTCTCCTTACAAACCTTCAAGGTACGTTCACAGCTCAGCTTTTTGACCATTCCAAAACGGCCACCCCAGTGCAGTTAATTATTCTCCCATTCAGTTCAATAGTTTTTCTTTCTGTGTTCAGCTGCCTCTATCGACTTCAGCATGACTTGCAAATCTGCAACTGTGTCAGCTGTGGATCTCCGTCACCGTCACCCCGACTGCCACACCCCTGAGTGGGATCCCACGTTACTGCGAGTTTCGCTGCAGCTCTCCAGCCCACCAGAAGCCTGCGTTTTCATTTCGCTGTTATTTTCAGGTACTGACAGTTCAGGAGCACAGAGGTCTCTTAGGCAGTTGTCAGCCTCTCTTGCACAATGCTCTGGCCATGGGTCACTCGAGAATGAAGAACTGAGCAGTTTGTCCTTTTTTTGTTAGGGGAAATGAGCAAGTATGGCAGAAATACAGCGGGAGGAAAACAGACCTAGACATCTGTGGCAGAAATAGCACGTGACTGAAAAAAAACACCAAACAATTGAATGCACAGCATCAGTCCCATGGAAAGCTTTTATGCTCCTGATTTCCACAAGCAGGTAGATGCCTTTCCCAGCTGGAGTGCTGCAACCTCACATTTTTGCAAAAAAAATGTCAAGGAAGTATCGCCAGTAACAGCTGCCTTTTGCTAAAGGGCAAAAAATCAACTTCATTTGTTATTCTTTCCATATCTGATCTTTAAACTTCCTACTGTGGTGTAAAAATTGGTGAAAACAGAGCAAAAGTGTGTGTGTTGAGGGGACAGATGAAAGATTTTGCCTTGCAGAGAACGAAGAGCTCAGTACAGAAGTAGCTGTTACACAGATGTAGCCTATTACTTCCTTCCTGGGTGTCTTTTAGCATTCATTCAAATCCTTCTTTGAAACATCTCCAGTGGATGCTTGCTGGCCACAATACGCCCGCACCCTGCCGGACTGTCGTGCAGCACTGCCCAGGGGTGCCAGCCGCCCTCAGCCACGCTCTCTCAACGTCCAGTCAGGCTGGGCCTGCCGCTCGGCAAATGGTTTCCTGTAAACCTGTTACGCCATCAAAACGGATAAGCTCCAAATAAATGCAATTCGCTTCCACACACCTCCCGCACATAGCAGCACAGAATGTCACAAAGCCAGGTTTGTCCCCCACCCTCATTGGACACACAAAGCAACAAGTGAATTGTACTATTATTGGTACATGTGTTGACCCTCCTTAGGCCTGTTTAAGAAAAACAGGTGCAGTCGTGCTGCTTGGTACAGAAACTAGTTCTTTAATGTACCGTAAGCAATGGCCTTAAGCTACCAACTGCCTGGTTTTGAAATGACAGCAGGACTGGGGGGGGGGGGGGATTTCTTGCAAATCACATGAATCAAAGACTGCTCCTAGAGGGGTTCTCCTGACCCCAAACACAGGTTCTCCCATAGTGCTTTGAGACTTTCCTCGAACAAGCCCAGCTCTGCTTAACCTTGTGCGAAGGGCTGAGGCTAAAAAAACCTCAACGATAGCACCTGCTGTGAGCTCTCTGGTGGCACCAGCTGGGGTTCTCCGCTGCGTTGCTTCCACACACAGTGCCTGGCACGGGCTAGAAAACTCCCACGGTTCCACACAATATAGCCCTCGCATCCATCAGCACTGAAGCACGAGCTTCCTTGCTAGGAAAACCTGCAGCAGCTCAAACTACTATGCAACAGGAGCCTTACCAGTTTCTGTGCAGATATTGGCCATGTCCCTTCTTCAGCATTGCTTAAAACAGGGCAGAGTTCAAGCGACAGAAGATACACTTTTAGTCACTAGCTGAGATAAGGTCTTCACTGCAGCAGTTTAGGACTGCGTCCACTTTGACAGAGCCCAGGATCGGAACAAGGCTCTCTGCTGACGCAAGACAGCCTTTGAGAAAACGGAGACGAATGGAAGCGAAGACCACCAACAGGAATGCTGCTGGTTTTATTCTGCTACAGAAAAGGGACAGCTAAGTCATGTGAACAGCAGAAAGGACACAAGTGAGAAATAGGCCAGTCGGGTCCTCTGGCCCATATGGTGGTGCTTGGCTAACTGCACTAAGAATCTCATCCAGCAGTTTCTTGAAAGAAGCCAGAGTATCGGCTTCACCCACGTGGCTGGGTAGCTTGTTCCACACCGCCACATTCCCACAAGCTTCACAAACATAAATCCTGCTCGGTCTCCTCAGGCTGCCACACAGCTGCTAACACTACCACGAGGAATGCGTGCACTCCTATTCTCTCACTTGCGTCAAGGCACACTTTGCATGTCATTGCAGCGGGACCCACAGCACACCGTCCTCTCAGTGAAGGCTGGGAACAGCAGGAGAGAGAAAGAATTCGAGGTGCCCCTTCTCACACACAAGCAAGGAGGTATGCGCGCCTCGGCTGGCAGATCCCTTTCCCGGGGAAACCAAAGATAAAACGATGCTTTCCATCACTCCACGGCAAACTAACTGGCGCGACATCTGCAATTCATTTCGGAAAGGAGACGAGGTCTTGCGTTGTACGTGACGCGCCGAGCAGTCAGCCGGATGGTTCCAACTAATCCTCCAGCCGGTGACTCATACCAGCAGGCAATTCCGAGGCGACTTCATTATGCAGTCTTACCTCAACCGACGACTGCTGCATACAATACGATCAGGCTACAGAAAATAAAAGCACATGGAGGCTCAGGAGAGGAAACACTGAAGAATGGAGAGGGACAAACGCTTGAAAATTCCTCAGGCATCTGTCAGGCTCTGAACTGTACGCGCACGCCGAGTCATAATATACAAGTCAAAGGCTATGTCGAGGTTTTGGTCATGTGTACACGGTCAATATGTCTTATGCAATGGCCGAGGTAAACCTCACAGTATAATTCAAAACATGGGCGGTGCGGTTGAGGAATTCGCGAACTTGACGTTTCATTCCCGGAGAGCGACGTTAACCCAGACTTAGGAAATGAGTTTCGACGCAGTAAAAAAAAAAAAGAAGTTGATCGTGTTCCTTTGCCAAGAAAGATGATGAAACCGTCATGTCTACTTGAAAGTATTAGAAAAGGCACCGAACAGAACCAACGATGCGCAGTGTCACGATGTTTTTTTATAACAACACTGCCTTGAAGCCCCCTCTACATTATAAACCGATTACTCCTAATATGTTGCGTAAAAACATGAAACTACATTTGTGCACTTCAGTGAGAGGCGCATCCTGTTCTTGACAGAATCGCAATGCTAATACTGCTATCTGTAAACAACAGTCATTCTCAAGTGAATGAGAAGAAACCCCGTCGCGTTACTTTTCCAGCTGAGCTGATGCTTTCCGTTACCCAGCCCTGGGAAAGATATGAAAATATCTGGCAACAGAAAGCGGCCTGTCGCTGGGGGTCATGTGCGAGTCACATTTCAGCCCCCAACACGACACAGCTTATCACTCCCGGGTGGTTGGTTTTGTTTGTCCATGATAAAGCGTCTCTTCGGGTCAGTAGACGGGTGCAAATCGTTCTGTACTGAAAGATTAACTAGGGGCTGCAACTGCAACAATAAATGACGGGGCTTCAACAAAAAGTCTCCAGAAAGCAATCGTGCTCAACTCAACGTCCTGCAATTGCACCACGACATACAAAGGGCTACTTCTGTCCTGCGCAACAAAATAAAAATAAAAACGATCCGACACAGATACAATCTAGTCAAAAGAAAATACTCCAGACAAGCCCCATTCAACCACTAGGGAGTTACAATTGAGAAACCCTATGCAAAACACTTAAGATTTGGCAGAACTGCAAAAGGCGCGTCAGTGCTTCCCGGAAACTGCATTTTTTTAAACAAAAAGTTTAACGAAACTGGGGATTTGAAGGAGAGCACAGGAAATTCACAACGGGTTATGAGAAAACTCTGACCAGGCGCAGGTTAAAATAAAAAGTGAGACGTGCGATTCACGGATCTCGTGTAAATAACACACGCCATTCAAAGGGATGGGGAGCAACACAGTTGCACACCGAGCCCCCAGAAACAACGGGCTGCGAAAAAAAAAAGTGCAGAAATCTTTCACTGGGTCAGGGTCCTGAACCTATTTTGCGTAACTCGCGAAACCACGATCTCTCCATGCAGAGAAGGGCCTGCCTGCCTGCCTGTGATTCGTTGCTTTGATTGAGCAAGAATGTACCATCAGGCCTGCAATAAGCGATGCCAAACATAACGCAATGAGTTGTGCAAATACACTACGCTTGAAACACATTAAAACGCAATAATAACACGAAGTGATAAAAGTAAGTAATTTACCACACTGATCCGTAAGCCCCAGAGCCGACTGGGCTAAGACTTTGGTACCGTTCCGGGACCTCCCATATCGTCTTGTTCAGCTCCTGTCGGTAGAAAGTGGGTCTTTCTTTCTGCGACATTCCTGCAGAACAGCCAGTCCCGCTGCACCACGCAGTCAATCAAGTTAACTTCTCCTTCCCCCACTTAAATCAAAAGGTGTAAGTTGAAGTAAAAATCTAAAAAAAAAAACAACGTCAACCCAGGAATTAAAGGAGCGCACCGGGTTGAGCTCGAATATAAAGGACAAGCAAACAAAACTCTGGTTGCAAATGCAAATTTGAGCCCGCTGCAATGTTGAAACGATTTGCCCTCTACACTTTCTCTTTTTTTTTTCCCCCTTCAGTCCTCAAGTTTGAGTGGAGTAAAGACCCGTCCGCCGTGGGCTTTCTCTCACAGTCTCCTCCTGCAGTGGCGCGCTCCCGTCACTACCCACAGCTCGGCCCAGACACGCAAGTCTCGCGTCTCGCGCGAGGAGGCCGAGCCGGCGCAGGGGTGCTCAAGATGAGGGCTTCACGCTTTGAAACAAACAAAAAAAAAACGCGAAAAACGTACTTAATCCCGGAATTTCCCCGCTACACAGAAAAAAAACAACGATGCTGATGTAGTTATTCGCTTTTGTTTTCGGTGCTTGTTTTAAGCTTCCAATTCTTTTTTAGGTACAGCCAAGTTTCCGACACGAATACCTTCCAGAAAGATCGAGTTGCCAGCCTCTCTCTGCTCGACTACATTTTCTGCGAGGTCAAAGCATGTAGTTTTGTCCTATTGTCATTACTATAGGAAAACAGAACGCGAGTACAAAAACTAAAATACCTTCAGATTTCCCCGTGCTTGTGGAAAATTAATCCATACGAATTTACTTTTGACTCATCGTATTGCACAGCATTGATTTAAAGTAGTGGAGAAACCGAAGCCGGGAGTCCACATTTGCTTGTTTTCCAGATCTATAAAAAGTGTGTTCCAGAACGATTACTAAGAAAGGAAAATTGCAGTGTTACCCCCTTTGTTTTCCGTTAGTCTGTCTAGAGCAGAATTATTCTTAACATTTTTAGGAAAACACGGAGAACGATTTAAATTACATGTTTACAGCCACCAGGGATTGAAGCTGGGGCTCATTCCCTGACGTCAGTTTTAAACTGTGAAGGGGGTTGCAAGTTCAAAAAGGCTCAAGAAACACCAAAGCTCGCAGTTAAGCTTGAGTTGGATGGAGGACAGACTGCAACACTTCATGTGTCTTTTCAGTGGGCTGCTAAAATACTCACTTGAGATCTTGGTTCACTCTTTGCCAGCAGCCATATCACCCTGCAAGCCCCAACTGGTAAACCAGTGACGGTATGCAGGTGTGAGCGTGGTCAGTACCTGGATGGGGGATCTCCTGGGAAAACTAAGGTTGCTGCTGGAACTGGTGCTAATGGGACCAGTAGGGGGCGCCCACCCTGTGGTCTCAGTGGGTCCTAATGCCCCAGTATAGTGATTGGGACACTACTGTAATATAGGTGCTGTCCTTCACCGTCCTATATGAGACATAAAACCAGGGTCTCGTCTCTTTGTGGTAAGTAAAAATCCCAGGGTGTTTCTTGAAAAGAGTAGGGGTGTTACCCCAGTGTCCTGGCCAAAGTCCCCCCTCGCCTTTACCAATCATGGACTCCTAATAATACCCATCTATGAATTGCTTTCTTGCTGATAGCTGATGTGTGGTGAGTGTACTGGTGCACTTTGACTGCCGTTGCATCATCCAGGTGGGGCTACACATTGGTGGTGGTGAAGGGGAGTCCCCATTACATCGAAGAGCTTTAAATTGAGTTTGCAGAAGAGTGCTATATAAGTGTAAGGAATTATTATTCCTTCTTCATCGGTGTCATCCTGCTGGCCATGAATGTAATTTAACTGTCAGTTGTATTTAATTTTAATTCCAAAGTTTCCATTTGTAACTACAATCAATGTTAAACATTTTGAAAAAGTGTAAATACCCATGGAAAGGGTGTGAACTAATAAGCACTGGCCCATAATAAAATAGTAATAATAATACAGTAATGATTCCAGTTAATATTGGGAGGAGGTCGAAAATTCCTTTCTCATTCTTCAGACTTCACAGATGTTTCCTATGGGATGATCGTTACACGCACAGCCCGTGGGATAAGATCGTGTTAATTTATTTGTTCAAAAAAACATTCCTCCCGACGCACAAAGGATGTGTGCGTCCCACAACGGAAAGGAAGGAAATGGACAACCTGGGAAATTAAAAACGACGACGACTTCGGTTCACCTGAAGACTTCAGTGAAGCCGTTCGGGGCGCAACTTCGCCCGGCTTTGTGAGAGACAGAAGCACGCCCGCCAGTTACAGATTCACCGGAGGTCCGGGGGACATTCCGAACATGCCTTGAAATGTACTGATGGAAAAAAAAATGATGTTTTGGCTTCGTATTTTGAGCGTGTTATTAAATATTACTCAGGGGTGGTTCGGCACAGCGAAATTGCAAGTCTGCCGCAATTTGAAAGCTTTTTTCTGTTTGCTCATTTTACTTTAGTTCACTACGTTTCTCCACATTTTTATCATGCTTGATCAAATCTCTCTGTTTTAACTTGTTTTCTTCAGTATGAGCTCACAGTGTTTTCTTCCTTTCACTTTTTTCCCATACGCGTATTTCCTAAGGAATCTTATAAATGACACGAAAAGGTTAACGCAACTATACGAGTGGTGGTTGGCACTTTTCGTTGCACGTTTATGAGGAACATAATGATAGTGGAAATGGAATTCAGTAACCGGATGCAAACAGTCGAGTGAAGTTGCAGCTAGACAGCACAGCCCGAAATCCGCCAGTTTGTAAATAATCTTGTTTGCTGAAGAGTTCTTTTACCGCCACTTGAAGAATGAAATTAATTGTGATGAGAACGTCAAAACCTATGACATGTATATCACACAACAGGGAACGGTCTCCGAAACTTTTGATGAGACATCTGATTCTCCGTCTCATCGTCTGGGATTACACGTCCTGCAAATTCCTGTTATGTTAAAAGTGACGTCTTCGAATACCTGGAGAATCAGGAGTACAGTATGTTAAAGCTAATACTCACAACAACAATAGAGTCTACTGCCATCTGCTGACGAGACATTACACTCTTCCCAATTCTGACAATATCTGATTCAATTCACGCTTTATTATCCTCTGGGGAAAATTTGTTTTAGGGCACAGTACAATACAACAAGGAAGACAAACGTTTTACTAACAGAAAAGAATACAATAGTGTTACAGGAGATAAGATAAATCATTTACCTTGTTTCAAAGAGATATTGTATCGGGGATAAAATATTTCCTGCTACAGTATTAATTTTCCTCAGTACTATTAAGATGGCTTATGCAGGTAAACTGGCAGTTAAAGTGTCACCTACCATGTGAAATAACTGATTTACTTTGATGTTTTCTTATCCGTTTAAAAGTATAATATGCCGGCAAATGTAGCACTGTGGTGAAACGCATCAGAGCTAGTTTAAACGTTACAGAAACACAAATATGTGTTGTGCCTGAATGGATACTTCATTCTTGAAGTGCAACAGACACATACTCCATAATGCTCTTGGCCTTCTTTACAACCTGTTTTTTTTTTTATTTCCCTCAATTATTTTGCTACTTATTTTCACTAATTTTACAAATCTGTTACAAGTTACAGATGGTGCCAAACCAACAAGACCGACAGCATATCTTTCATAAAGCAGATTACAGTATGAAAGGCATTCTTGGGGTATCACCACATGGAGAAACATCTAATTCTTCATCATCTCTAACAGGCAATCAAGTGCAATAAATATCATACTGACAGTATATGTAAAACCAGACCCATATTAAAGTCTGGAAATGCAACATGTCATCAGTTCCAATACATCCAAAGGCTGAGACTATGAATTGGAAGGGTAGACTCCTAATTTGTTTCTACAGGGAAGTGCATTTAAAACTGAGAACTTCTTTACACAGTGCTTAGTGGGAGTGTGGAACATACTTATTTTAACAAACAGTGGGTAAAAAAGCTTTTAAAAAACATAATGGACCGAATGTGCTGAGTAGCTACTGCTCATTTGTTAACATTTTTATGTTATTTAAGGTTAAATTCTGTTTAACTTTTTTATTTACGTACTGTACCAGCATGGAAGGGGTTATTTCAGTAAGACAGAAGAAAAGAGCAGCTCATAGATATTTAAATTTGTCTACGCCCAGTTCACTATCTTTCAGTCCTGTGAACAGCAAGCTAGCACATTCAAATATGATTCTCATGGAGTAGATACATAAACCAGGCAAATAAAAGACAGTATTGAAGTTTTCGTATCAGGGAGTGATCAGCACCTGGTGGTGTTGCTGGATGGCCACGACTCAGAGGTCAAGCCCAGGGGTAGCCAGACCCTTAACTGTCTAGCTGGACACAGGCTGAGCTAAGCTGAAATACAGGTAAGAACTGCCCTCAGTCCTCTCCCCATCTGATTCTATGCCTCTTAATCTCCCAGTCCTAGCAGTACTGCCCATCACCATCATGATGCTAGAAAAGAAGAGATCTGGTTTTCCACTGTGGACAAGTCACGCTCTCCATGTTAAATTCATTTGATGTGGGGGATTTTAACCTTGTTACTGTATTACATATGGACTGTGGAGGCTCCATTGTTCCAGGAGTAATTAACACACCTATTCTAGAAGCCTCACTTGCCTAGAAAGCAAGTCACAGAGGTACTTCAGTTCTTTAATACTTTTCAATGGACACTGAGAGCTACAGACTGGCCAACAAAAAGGAAAAAAAAACACGAAATCGCTGAAAAATACCCTGGCGCCTGTACCTTTCAGACATTTCCGGGACGTTTTCCTGAAAAACTGGTTCTAAGCCTCTTTCAATTCTAATTTCCTTACTTTCCCTGGTTGTGCAGAGGTGCCTTCCACAGGTTCCACACGCTCTGTGTATTTTTCTCAAATCAGAACAGGTCTTAAATATTTTTCTGTTATCACGCTTTCGTGTGCTCACAAGATTACCTGCATTCGTAGCACGTATTTCTATGCATTCCTGTGTTTACAACGTTGGCATTGTTGCAAAATCACGCACATTCTCCTTTCTCCCTATTTGCTGGAGATACAGTAGCTTTTTTTAAATACAATTGGTCACTTGCATCCATAGCACGCATTCCTATAGAGTGGCATAGAATTACAGAGTATCTCTTTTGTCCACTGAAGTATTAGCGCACACTGTATCGTAGTACGTAGGCTGCGTATTCGACACGTATTAAAATAGAAAATATGAAAACCCGTCCCACACAGACACAGTTCCCGACGCACATGACACAGTTCCAGGGTCATTTGGCGTACCACCTGGCGGCACTCCACGTACCACTGCCGGTATGCGTACCACAGTTTGAGAACCACTGCTGTAGCAGAACTGTGTCTTCTTCTTTTACTGAGGCAGACAAATCTTTTTGACTAATAGTTTTTGACTAATTTCCTGAATGATGGCTTTAATTTCTAGATATGCCTGATGTTTACGTTCAGAAGGGATGAAGGCAAAGAGATCCCCTTACCCAGGTGTTTATCTTTCGTCCTTTAGATGTTACCTGCATACTTTTATCTCCAAGTAGGTGGCTGCGTCAGCATGCGTAGGCTGCAAAGGAACGTTTAAAGCATGGTTTATTCCATGCTGAAAAGAGAAGAAAGGAAACACAAAAAGAAGGCTCCACGGCCAGAACGTTGTGTTTCCTTTCTTCTCTTTTCAGCATGGAATAAACCTATTACATGTTACTTTTATCTCCAGTCATGCAGTGCTTTCATCCACAGTTGTGCAGTTTGAGGGGCTCCAACCCTCTTTGAGGTCGTTAAAAGAGGGTGCTTGTTGTTTTTCTGTTGTAGCTGCCCGAGGAGCATTGCACTCCTCCTGCGTGAAAACAGGCGCCTGACGCTCGGTCTGCTGAACTGCCCAGCCGGAGCAACGGCCTTCCGGCAGGGAGCGCGCCCAGCAGCGCTGTCAGTACAGCGAAGAGTCCTGCGTGTCTCCAGCTCGCAGCCCCACAGACCGTCGCGGCTCGCATCGCCTGCAGGTCCGCTCTTTAGCAAATACTTAAGCACTGGCAGAGGGGTAACAGCTTTTACTTATACACATGCCAGCCTAGGCAAACAATTAGGCCTTTAATCGGATCGTCCTTTTCTGGGAATGTTTTTAAAAATGCCCGTGCTGTTCATAACCCTTGCTTTCACCAATCGTTCAAGGGAAAAACCTGCAGTCTCTTTTTCAAAATCTCTTCAATGCTATATGGTATTTACAAGCATGGGTAAGTAATGTGTAGATCATCAACCCCTCTAAACCTCGCATGGAGCACCTTTGATCAGGTACAGTCATAAATGCACTGGGAGAAGACTAAACACACAATTCTTTCCTTATAAAATGCTACAAAAAACAGCTGTGATTCCCTTCTCCCCAGCTGCTGTAAAACTACCGACTGGAAAAACTTACATGTTGTTTCCGGCTAAAGAAAACATCTGAGTTCTGAAAGCTTTATTTAAACGTAATTACAACATAACAACGACATGCTTTTAAAACAGTCTAGACAGGAACAAGTGTCATTGCGCTAAGAAGGTAAGATGCTGTTTTATTATCGTTGTTTCTCGTATAGGGAACTCATGATTTTGTAAGCGAGTTTTTTTTTTTCTTCAGTTGCTGTCTTCGAGGCTGCCGGAAGTCTTCTTCGCGTTGGGGTCCACGCAGATTCCAAAATTGCTGTTGGTGATTGATCCGCCGATGTTGAAGTTCACGTCACACTTCAGCCCGCTTTCACACGTGCACCGGTAGTAGGTTCCGTACAAGGACTGTGAAAGAAATTCCCGAGTGCCCTTGTAATTAAAACTCCTTTACGTTTTAATGAATACATTTAATATTTAGCTTAAATGTTAAAATAATTTAGGAGTAAAACTCTAAGCCCGGTGATGCATGCTTTCTAAGGTTTAATTAAAGAGGTGGTTTAACTAACCTCTCTTTGCCAGCAGGCATATCACCCTGCAACTCACAACTGGAACCCATTGAAGCTAAGCAGCTGTGAGCCTGGTCAGTACCTGGATGGGAGACCTCCTAGGAAAAACTAAGGTTGCTGCTGGAAGAGGTCTTAGTGGGGCCAGCAGGGGGCGCTCACCCTGCGGTCCATGTGGGTCCTAATGCCCCAGTATAGAGACGGGGACACTATACTGTAAACAGGCGCTGTCCTTCGGATGAGATGTAAAACTGAGGTCCTGTGGTCATTAAAAATCCCAGGGCATTTCTCAAAAAGACCAGGAGTTTAACCCTAGTGTCCTGCCCAGGTGGGGCTGCACATTGGTAGTCCCCATTACCTGTAAAGCGCTTTGAGTGGAGTGTCCAGAAAAGTGCTATATAAGTGTAAGCAATTATTATTAATATCTGAAACTTCTCCATGCTTTGCCCACCTAAATAGTGTTATTTAATACCAGCCACTGGGTGGCAGTGTTGTCTGTAACACGTGGTTTTCGCACCTCTGCTGAAGATATTGCTGCTTTGGATAAAATTATTGTGGGGGTGGGAGATTTTTTTAGATCCTTAGTTATTTTAACGATGCAGTTTGATGAAGTTTACATATTTTGCTACCAACAGCAGAAATGCTGCTATAACATCAACCTCATAATGATTATCAGCACAGATTTCATTGCTAGCTCTAGTACCTCTCTCTGCTGGTGATATTTAAAATACCAACAGAATAAACCCAAGTAGCAAAGCGATCACGTATTCAAGTGACCCAATTTTCCTAATACTAATGTCTCCTGATCAAACACTGCGTTTTACAGCCTTTTGCTTGCGCAATGTGAGATTTACTTTAGCTGACTCACATGAAGTATTTAACTGCCCTTAACATGAGGCAGAACCAATTACAGAGTACTGCTGCTCTTATCTCCTGGTAACACCTATCAAACCTGCTCTGTGTGTTTTTCATCGCCTCTAACAGGACTGCAGGTTATCTACTGAGACAGCAGATAGAAGCTCAGCTGCTTGGCTGTCTCTTGTTTCACAGGGCTCACTGTGAGAGGAGTGTTGATTAGTGGCACCTCTTCTTAAAGGAGCTGGAGTGGCACACTGCTTTCTCCTCACCTCAGCCCTAATTTGGAGCTAAAGAGTTGTGGCAAAAAAAAGTTTTGCGGCATCCATAGCAAAGTGAGAGACAGAAGGAAAGTTAAAGATGAATACAGACCCTCTGCTTCAGGCAGCTGGTTGGGTATTATTGCTATTATTTTTAATCCGTTCATGCATTTCCTAACAAACTTTATCCAATATAGGGCTGCAGGGAAGCCAGACCCTGTCCCAGCAAGCAACGGGCACCCAGACGCATGCAAATCAGGTCATTGCAAATTTCCCCAGAAGCTAATTATCCTACCAGGTTGTCTTCGGACTGTGGGGGGAAAACCCACTGGAACACGGAGCGAATATACAAACAGATATCACCCCAGGTCCAGAACTGATCCCTGGCCCCCAGCTATGTGAGGCAACAGTGCTAACTCCTGCTCCACCGTGCTGTCCTGTTTTAATCCCAACCTCTTGAAGATGTTTTGGAATGTGCATTTGAGAATAGACCATGCTGTTTTTCTTATGTGTATTTTGTTCTTAACGTTTTGCCACCTGTCCGGCCCCATGGTAATGGTGGTACTGCCCCAGCGAAGGCGGTTCTGTAAGTGGGACCTACCTTTGGGGAGCACTCCTCGTTCTCAGCCGCCCGGGGGGCACAGCGCGCCAGACTCAGCCCGTCACGGCGGTGACAGCAGGAGCTCTTGCACTGCATGCTGATGAAGCACAGCTCGTTATTGTCCTGGGGCAGGAACACAGCCACAGGTATGCAGAGGGGAAGGGAGAGAGAGGACAGAGACACGCTGTTAATGCCAAATCAAAGCCCCCAAAACTCCATCAGCTGTCCCATTAGCCCCGAAGTTTTAGCAAACGCTGAGAAGAAATGCCAGCTTGTTTTAAAGAGAAGTTGTATGAAAGCTGAAAGCTGCAAGAAAATGAGGAGCAAATCAAATTTTAAAGACAATCTAATAATATTTTTGCACCAGGTTTGTGATCAGCCCCTTTCCCTGTGGGGGTGCTGCCAGTGCCACTGATAGCACACACACGCCAATCAGCAGCAGGGTCCTCATCCTGGCTCTCCGATACACTCTTCTGCGCTGGCACCCAGGGCCCAGCGGCACTGTCTTATATAGCCTCACTGCACCCTATTACACAACATCACTCCCTTATCACAAGAACTCCCCCTTCACAGAGGAAACAGAACAGCACTCCAGACAGTACGGCTCACACCAGCCGCACCTGCTCCAGTCTCACAGCAAGAACGCACCTGTTTCACTGGTTAGGAAAGTCACAGTGCATGTGTCTCAGTGCGTTCACCAGTTCCTAGATTTTTTGCCTGAACTACCTCCTTTCGCCGTAGTGTAAAAGTCCCAACCTGTACTAACCTTTGTATGTTTTTCAACCCCAACCACAGAGGACACTTGTTTTAGAAAGTGGCCCTTGAGAAATGCTTGTTTTTCTTCACAATTGTATTTGCTATGGGCATATAATATTTAACCGCAGGGATAGGAAAGACTCCTGTTTGGAGAAACAGTTCCCACAAACAACATTTTTTTTTGCCTTAAGGAAAACAGATCCATTCCATATCATCTGCTTCCTGACCTGCAGTATTAATACTGCACACCAGTACTTTTTGCTAGTGGACGAGTAGAAAGCACTCTTTGCACTGGAGAAGAATTTCCAAACCAATTTCCAACAAGGTAACAGGGAACATTGTATAGCAGAGAGTGTCATCCTTTGAGTGACGTTTTAGAGGTCTTGATTAAAATAATCATCAAAGATCCCTCTTTGTGAGAATAGGAGATTTAACCCCAGTGTTCTGACTAAGCCCGTCTACAGGCCCACACACTGAGGCTTCCCTACACGTCCCCCTTCATTCAGACAGCAAAGCACTTCTCCACCTGATCTACTGTGCTGGTGCACAATGGTTAGCAGCTGTCACCAGTGTGGTTGCTCCATTCCAGTTTTAAAAGTGATATACAGATGTTTTTCTTATTATTAATAGTGTGCACTCATTAATTTCAGAATTAGAAGGCAGTGCACAAGATCATTCTTTCTTCCAAAAATATACTTGTATCAATGAGATGTTACAATATAGAACATGTAATTTATTGCATTGCTTGGGATAATTAGGAATTTTTCTAAATTCATTGGAAATCCTGCAGTGCTGAATGTTTCTTTTATGTGATGGTGAATGAATAGCTAAGCTAAAAGCACTTACTAAGCTAAGCATGTTCACCATCACTTGCAGTGTTTCCTAGAAGAATGAGATCATATTCAGTGGTAATTATAATTCATAGGTATGGTTACCATTGATTATGTATTTTTTGTAAAGGAGTCCGTTAACTCTGATAGGATTCTAGTACATTTCTAAAGTCAGATACCACCACCATGGCAGACAGACGGACACAGTATTAACTGTGACTGTATCTGTTCATGTCCATTTAATACACTACTTACCTGTTCATACACGTGTAAGTCTGTGCTTACAACACACTAGATTGATAGGCTTCCTTTTCACCGAGAATGTACTGTCTACAGTGTGCACACGTGTCTGGAAAGATGCGAAGACAGCCAGTTCCTGGCCTTGCCCAAACGTTCGAGTACAAGCGCCACGTCACGAAGACGTCAGCAGCCCGGGGAAAGAGCTGTCCGCGGTGCTGAATCCCTGGGCAGCTCGTTGACAGGAGCCGAGAGGAGGGGCAGAGCCGCAAGAGTAACAGCACGCCAGCAACAGATGGCCTCCGGTATTACCAAAGTGGATAAGGCGGCGTGCATAGCCTGCTTCTGTCAGCTTCGAGTAAAAGGAAGTAGCGTCTTCGGTGTCTATGCATAGGCACTGTGCAAACTGTTGTCGGAACGATGAAATGAAGAACGGACAGTCGGGTTGGAATAAAAGGCTATTTTTTTTACTGTTCTTGAAGACCCGCAAGACTAATGAGAGAGAGAGGGAAACAAAAGAGTGACGGATCAAACAAGCAGAGCCAAGATAATTCAAATCTTGCACCGATCTGCCGTAATAAAATCTGCCTTCACCTTCTTGCATTTGTAGCGTACAGACCGGCGGGTGGGTAGCTCAGGGACTCGACACCACAGAAGAAGAAATAGCGAGTCACTCTCGACCACCTGGGCGCGCTGTGTTCGCTTTTGTGAAGGGGTTGGGGGAGTTAATTGTGCGTACTTGTGTGTATTTCTTTCTTGTCTCCAACTGTGTCTGAGCCCCCGCTTCCCCAAGGTGCCGAGATGGAGAAAATGCTACCTGCCCAAGAAGCTGCCAAAATCTACCACACTAACTATGTCAGGAACTCTCGGGCGATCGGAGTGCTGTGGGCGATCTTCACGATCTGCTTTGCCATTATCACTGTGGTCTGTTTCATCCAGCCCTACTGGATTGGGGACAGCGTGAACACACCACAAGCAGGGTACTTCGGGCTGTTCCATTACTGCATCGGCAACGCCCTAACATCCGAGCTCACCTGCAAGGGGAGCGCTCTGGACTTCGGCTCCATCCCGTCGGGGGCTTTCAAGACAGCAATGTTCTTCGTAGGGATCTCGATGCTGCTGATCGTGGGCTGCATCGTCTGCTTCTCCCTCTTCTTCTTCTGCAACGCCGCGACAGTGTATAAGATATGCGCCTGGATGCAGCTCGCATCAGGTAAGTAACTTTGCGTCTTTCAGCCTTACGACGACCCCAACGGCACATGCGGAATTGAAACGATTCTTAATTCGCATTCGAAAGTTCAGCCTGAGGTTTCTCAGAAACGCGTTGGGAGAGTGCTGTCGTAATTTGAGACGATGGCAGAGGTTAAATAAATTATTCGCTCATTTATAATGCATCCTTATCTTGAACTTCGTTTTAAGTTCCAGAAGTTACCCGAGTAAATGTGTTCCAAAACACTGAAAAACGTTCTCACTGTGGCTGATGCGTTTTGTTTTTAGTCACTCATATAATAATGTTCTAAAAGTACACGTTGTAGACAGACACTGCGCACAGAACAGCGTTCTTAATTCTCCTTTATTGCAGTGCGTCGTGCTTCTTCCCAGAACACTTTAATACTCGTGTCATCAATATGCTTGTGCATTTCAACAGCACAGAGATGACTAGCAGGATCAGACAACAGCGAGAACAGCATCCGAGTCTTACATGAGGTCCTGCAGGGCCCAACACGGGAACCAGAAAACTAGGGACGATCAGAGCGCATTCCCAACAACATTGGGAAATACGGTTTGATAAGCAAGAGGCCACTATTATTTTATAAAGGTAATTCACCACTAACAAAATTTGTACACTTTGAAAACTCAAACCTCACCATCTCACGTCTTGACTAATATTCAACTAACAAAATGCTGAAAACTAACATATGTTACTATGCTCTATCATATTAAAATGATTTGCCTTGTTAGAGACCATTTCTGTGGGGCACAACACAAAGCACAAAATGGAGCACACACACTGGTTATATGCTATTTTTTCCTTTGAACCGTATATAGAGCATTCGAGCGGGTTGATATTTAGGGGTCACTGAATTATTTGTAAAAAATAAACAGTTGCGCAATGGTATATGCAATTTTCTCTTTAGGATGTCAAAACATGTAACGTGTCTGCACACTAGTTTCTCCACTTAGAACACTTAACTGTTTGATTTGGCATATTCAAAAGCATTATTTTCTTCAGAATAAGATTATCTTGTTTATGGATGACCATGTGTGTACCTTTCAAGCTTGTATTTGCCACACTGTTCAGTTTGGGTTCCATTCAGTCTGCAATCCACACACACCAAGCCTAATCTTCTCACACCTCTAAAAGCAGCTTGCTCTCTTAACTGCCAGGTCAAAGAGTTCAGCATTATGACACTGAAAATATGCACGAGTGAACGATAAAAATGTAGGTAGTAGGCACAGTATATCGATATGATACAAGCGTAAAACACATGCACACACACTGACTGTTCTATGTCCACTGCCCACAAAAGCAATCCACTGTGTAACAGCATTTTTATAGCAAGACCATGGTCAAATTCTCCTCTATGTGCACTTCATGGCTTGTATTTTAAATTATTTATCAACTGACTATGCCTTTGTAAATCTTCTTAGCTATACAAGGATACACTGTCTTTATTAATATTCCACTTCAAAGCACAGAAGACATCATCAAAGCTCCCAATTAGCTGTACTGTTTTTTGGTCTGCTTTGTTCCAAAACTGAGAATTAATTACACTTCCCCCTCTGTTAGACAAAAAAGAGAGATATGAAAGAAGCCTAAAAACGCAGGCTGCATGAGAACTGTTGTTAGCAAAAATGAGGGGTAGGCACACAAAGACTGTTGTACACTGGAGTTCGGGAAGATGGGTGTAGATACAGACGCAGATAGATTGGGAAACAATTGTTTTGGGAAAAATGATTTCATCTGCAGCTCTGGGATATATGCCGATTAGCTCGGTTGGTAGCGCATGAGATTCACAATCTCAGGATAGTGGGCTTGTGTCCCACGTCGGGTGCCAGATCCTCCATGTTGGAGTTTGGGCACAAGGCTAACAACCCTGTCCTGAAAAAAACAATTGGAAAAAACAGGATGTTGCTGCCCCTACATGCTGAAAGGCATAACAGACAAACACCCATCAATCTGGGATATATTACATCTTTTAAATATTGAGAACTGTGAGCCTTAGATGTTTCTATCTTAAGAATGGTTACAAAGGACCAAAATGACTGTTTGATCCATCTAGCTCTTTTGGTTTTTTAGTAGTTTATTTATGAAGGGGTACCATCCTGATGTTTTCTGAAAGAAGCCAGGGTATCAGCTTCAACAGCATAGCTGGGCAGGTTATTCTATATACTTACAACTCTTTGTGTAAAGATAGTTGTACACAGTTTAAATGTACTTGAGTAGTCTCCACTCATGTCGTCCGATTCCTGTTTGAATGATGATTTTGAAGAAATACACTGCCAATAAATAATAATAATAATAATAATTGCTTACACTTATATAGCGCTTTTCTGGACACTCCACTCAAAGCGCTTTACAGGTAATGGGGACTCCCCTCCACCACCACCAATGTGCAGCATCCAAGATTCTGAATCAGCTGCCCTCAGAGTCTTCTCAGGTATGAGACAAAAAATGTTCAGCTATTCTGGCCTGGCAGAGCAGGCCATTCCTACAAGCACTGTAATGTATCTAGTTACTCTTCTCTGGACTGATTCCAGTGCTGTACTATGCTTTATTGTTACATGGTGACCAAAATTGTACCCAATATTGTAAATGACATTTTACTAGTACATTACACAATTTGAACTTAACACCCTTTGATTTAAATTCTGTGCTTTTAACTTTACATCCTTCCATTCTGTTTGCCTATTTTATTGCTTTGCCACATAATTTAGAAAATGAATATAATGTTCTCAAATAGCCTCTTGAAATTCTCATATGCAAGTACAGTATATATTAGACTGAGCTACCAAGACTTAAATATTTGATGGCCTTATAGAGTTTTTACTGTGCTAATTCAGGTTTAACATACATAAATTGTTCTAAAAGCACAGTGAAAGATAAAAAAGGATAAGGGGATAAGAAAGCACCACGGTGGTTAGATGTTTTGACAAGAATAAAGTCATAAAATAAGTATGGAGTGCAGTGAAAAGACCAAGTACATTCAGTGCAGTACTGTACACTCACACACGTACAGAAACAGCACACCAATACTCAAGCACCGAACTGCATTGCACTGATCAAAATCTAACCTGTGTGCCTAGCATTGACAGCCAGCTGCAGCAAACCTTTGGGAATGTGAAGGTGGCCATAGTGTTAATTAGGTCCCGAAATGTGTCACCTGGCTGTCTGGAAGAGTGTGCTGAGACATCCAGGAACTGGTCTCTGGGCACGCCTGGGTGTAATCGCTGGTTACGAGGTTTTAATTAAAGGCGATGAGCTGCTCCATTAAAGTGCTGTGAGAAATTCATGGTCCATGATGGGAAACAGAAGGGTTTCAGTTCAAAGGTATTGGGCTGAAAGTTCACAATTTGTAAAGATTTTAGAAAGAAATTATTCACCTATGGTGGGATGTGTGAACCCTTTTTAAGGATAATCTTGAGGGAGATGTACTGTACCTGTAAAAGGAATATCTGCACGTATATACATTTTTATATTTTGTGGTTGTTTTAAGTGCCGGTCACAATGTTATCCTAAGAGGTTGAGTTTAAACTCCCAGTGTGGTGACTTAAGGGGTTTTATAAAAAATCTTTTTATAGGGTGAAAAGATGTAGTGCAGATGGAGCAGTTGGGACTCTGACGGTGATATTTTTCATTCTCATACCTGACATACCCTGTGTGGCTGTGATTTCAATACCTGTAAGAACAGCTGTGAACATACAGTACTGTATTTTGTATAGTTCACACAACACACAAAAATGCTTTAAGTGCAAATGTCCTTATGGGACCAATATGTGTGTGATCATGTAAAATCTCATCTGACAACATCCATATTTGAAGGTAGGCTATAGTCCTTTCAAAGAAATTATTAATAAAGGCGGACTTGTGTCAGGCCCAGGGTGTAGTTCGGCCTTGAAACCTCTTCTTTCTTATGCTATCTTCACCAATTCAGAGAGATGGAAATTTCGTTTCGTTTTTAACACTTGTCATAGAAAAGACAATCCATAAAAAGTGTTCAAAGACTTCTTCGCATTCGGACACTACATGTAACAATAGTCACAGTGGAACATGCAAGATGATATCCTCTAGGGAGGCCTAATTTAATGGACTTCAGAATCCTCCTCACTCCACACACTGCTCTAACAACACAAAGAGAAACTGTGTCAGAAAGCTAGCTCCTCTGAGAGCCTAACTCTGCAGAAGGAAGACACCATTTTCCGCTTTGAATTGCTCAATTAATTATTTAACCTCGGAGCTTATCATGGAGATGACAGCCTTCTTACTAGACCATCCCACTGTTACCTAATGCCTTTGGAAGGAATTGTAAGTTCTAACTTCTAAGAATTTCAGAAGACAATGTTGAGCCTCTGTGACTATTATTCTGCACGTCTCAGTTGGTAAAAGCCTGCAGAATGATTATAGACAAATAATATATAAGAATGTCAGCAGCAGATTTAAGATTAAATGGATTATCTACATCTAGATCGCACAAATTCATTCTTTTAGAACCATGCTTTTCCAATTATTCTGAAATTAAACAATAATTCAAAGCTCTGGTGTGAGCATAATAGCACTGTAATTAAGTTTATAGTAAGTGAAGGCCCCAATTATAATTCCAGGTAAAGAATTAACATTACGCACTGTGCAAAGTAATTCCACAGTGGAAACCTTGCTCAGTTTATGTGATGTCTTGGTCAGAATCATAATAGAAATAGGATGTCTGACAGTGCAGACAGCTCTGTGTGAATGGGTTTCAGATGGTGAATGAGAATTGTCTCTCTGGGAGGTTTGCCACCTGTTAATTAACACTAAATGCCTTCCCAAGTGGCTAATCGTCCTGTCATAATGCCTAAAAGCAATTTAATACTTTTAAAAGCACATATGGCAAATAATTACATTCTCAGAAGACTTCATCTGAAAATGTAGATGCCTCTATGGAAATCTAATGGAACTTGTAAAATTTACAGATGGTGAATGAAAGAACCTTTTATTTCAAGCTCAGCTACAAGTGGGTGGGGTCTATAGGGAAAAATATATAACAATCAATACAATAATCAATGCCCTGGATGGTAACTGTGGTGAAAAACTCTGCTTTTAAAACTTTGTTCTGTATTTAACATGTTTCTGGCACCTGAGGAGTAAGAATGGAGGATTATCCTCTCTCTCTTCATATTTACATACTCACCTAACCTCTCTCTTTCTCTAAAAGCTCCCTGTTTGCATATATAAAGTTAGTTCGCCGATTCAAACAGCTGTCATTAAAACGTCTCGCTGAGGGACAGCGATATTTTCTGCAAATTCAAATGAGACCCTGTGGGGATATGTTACTCCTTCACAGCCACAGTATACGCCATTAAGGAAATATTGACTCTAGCTAGTTAGTCTGTGATGGCTAACATGTATTGTCTGGTTTCTGGATTCCAGTAACATTAGAGGCCTCTGGTGTGCCCTATTGTCACACTGTCATTTATACACACACCAAATGTGCAGATCACTGGTTACAGATGTGACCAGTTTTGAATAGACAAAATGCCTAACTTTGTAAGATAAGATAACTTTATTGTCCATATACAATTTCTTGTATGAGGAATTTGTCTTTTTGCATACCCCAGCTTGCTCTCCATGAGACACACAGACAGGGAGAGAAGCTTGGGGTCAGAGCGCAGGGTCAGCCATTGTACAGTGCCCCTGGAGCAGCTGGGGCCTTGCTCAGGGACCCAACAGAGTAGGATTCCTCTGCCGGCCGCAGGATACGAACTGGCAACCTTCCAGCCACAGGCACAGATCCTTAGCCACAGAGCCACTGTTTGGAGGAAAAGTGTTTTATTTAAAATAAAATCCTAGTTCCTTTGAAACTGGTTACTTTTGTAAACATTTGGAACAAGATGGCACTATTAATTCCATGACTGAACACTAGATATGTTTATCACAGGAGTGTTCCAGGACTATTTTTCTTTTCTATTCATTGCCACCGGTGCTTGTGACCAACCTCTTACAGTGAGAGCAAGGAGTGTATTCACCTTCCCTATAAAACAAGATCATGCACAAATAAAAGCCCCTTGAAGTTGGACATTCTTCAATGAATTCCAATCTCTTCTTGCAGGGGTGTCCAACCCTAAACCTGGTCCAGGTTTTCTAAGTCTCTTCAAAGTTACTGTCTTACAGAAATCCCACCTGAATTATGCAACAGCAGCCAGAGTACACCAGTATGCTCACCACACATCAGCCATCGGTGGGAAGGAGAACATGGTAATGAAGCCAGTTCATAGATGGGGATTATTAGGCCATTAGAGTTAGGACCTGTTTTACATCTTATCCAAAGGACAACGCCTTTTTACAGCATACTGTCCCCATCACTATACTATAGCACTAGGACTCACACAGACTGCAGGGTGAGCACCCCCCTACTGGTTCCACTAACACCTCCTCCAGCAGCAACCTTAGTTTTTCCCAAGAGTTCTCCCATTCAGGTATTGACCAGGCTCACACATGCTTAGCTTCAGTGGGTGCCAGTTGTGAGTTACAGGGTGATATGGCTGCTGGCAAAAGGTAAAGTAGTAACACCTGAACCCAGAGGAGCTGTTACATGTGTCCAGTTAAGCCATTAACAATGTTTAACTTGTTAACAGTTGAGTTAGAATGAAAAACTGCACACACTGGACCTCCAGGACCAAATCTGGACACAGCTGGCATGAATATTCATTTCTTTTCACATAGCAATAAACCAGTTGCACGTTCCTTTTGCGCAGCAGTGTTTAACAGCCAGCCTTATCGAGTGAAAAGAGACTTGAAATAAAGCGTCTTAATCTGTGGGAAGCCAGTCACCTGTCTGTTGCAGCGGAGATGTTTTCATTAAAAAGCTGTGTCAACAGGAGTGGCGTAGCCGGGGGGTTGGGGGGGAGACTTTGTTTTTATTGCAACAACACAAGAGTATCTGGGAGGGAACTGTTAGCCAGCTGCGCTCTTCCCACAGTTCCCTGCTCCGCGCGTCCAACTACAATCCGTTAATGACCAGGGAGACTGAGCGGCCAACGGAGCAACAGCTTAGAAACCTAAGTGGGACTCTGCCCTCTCAGGCCCCTCTAATTACAGAGAAGATCAGCAGCGCTAGAAGCGGTTGCCTGGCAACCACAGCCTTCAGTGAGACGGGGTTTTGCATAGTTTCGCTGTGCTGGAACGAGATGAAACCCATCCCTTATGCACCCGGGAGTTTCCTCTGTCGGCCTCTGGAAGCGCAGGGAATAACTCCAGAACAAACCCGAGAAGTCGACTGGTTCCCAATTTGAATTTTAGCTAGAAGGTTCAGATTTAAGTTGTTTGTATGCAATTGAATGTGGGTCCACATTCATATAGATTTTATTTGTAATTGCCTTGTTTGCTAAAACGCATTTTCACCAGAGTGTATGAACATAAACATCCTTTTCCTACTTCTATTCGCTCTGATCCTGTTACTGCCCAGCTAGGTTTTACGTACAACACAGTACAAAGGCTTGCCATATAAAAATAGAAACCTTGGCACAGATCAAGACGCAGCTGACACGTCATCAGACATAAAACGGAACACATTCAAACACTGCTGACTTCTTAGCAGCTTTCCTCGTGCACCACAAAGTGCTTAACAAGATTTATACAAGTGGAAGTGATTCCGGAAATCCTTTCCGAGTTGACATTTGCTGTACGTTTGGGAACTTCTAATATCATAGGGTGCTGTACAATTTCCTCAAAAACAGACTCCAAACACCAGCATATATCAACACGTCTACTTAAATCCCCTAAGCGAGGTTAAATGACGTTAAGGAAGCAGCTGACAAAACGAAATCTGGATGTCATGTTTTTTTAATTACCCATTAAGATCAAAACAGTGCGTCTTTAAGAGTGTTGCCCGGGAAAAGTCGGCGTGAGATTTAGTGTCTGGGGTTTCCGTGGGCAGCCCTGCTGTGAGGAACTAATGATACCCGTGCTTCTGGAGCAAACCCATCCGCAGAACAGGACGACACGTCTGTTCGCTGCTCCGCACTGGCTCGGAGAGGGGATTCGAGCGAGCGCGGTGCATGTTAAAAAAAAAAAACGCTTCACCAGTCTCGAATGAAAGCGGTCCCCAGCGAACGGCTTGGTTTGTAGCTGAAATGTAAAACGTTAACCAGCTGGATTATCGTGCCGGCTAATTCAGTTAAAAAGATATAAGTGTCCATCAGGATAATTGCTCCCAATTTCCACGCCGGGGGAATCACGCGGTGTGCATAATAGAACAACAAATTGCCATTATGAAAAGCCTGGAGCTTTCTAGTCAAATAAGTAGCAGTTGTTAATAATGACTTGCCATCGAATGGCTAATATACTTGAAAATCACTGCGGCCCCCAACTTGGTGAATTAGCAGTGCTGCCGCCATTTGAGTAAATAACTGTTCTCCGGGATAAAACTTGGATATCAGGCAAAGGTGGTGAGGAGTTGCGAGTTGTCATGGAAACAAATCGTGTTTCTCCTCGAGGCTTGTCAAAGATGTCCATATATTTTTTTTCACTTTAAAATTTGGAAAAAAAGTGAACACTCATCACGGATAGTTCTCGTTATGAGGAGCGCGCAAGCGCACAGCAGCAAGACAGGAATTAGTAAATGACGACGCAAACGCTTTTTTCATTTTCAGCTCTCCTCTTAAAAGAAGTTTCGGCATCTCCTCGAAATGCTTTAATTATCTTATGTTCCTGGGGATACAGGGTTATGTTACAAACCTGTTGGGTTTAGACAACGAAGGAAAGAGTAGAAGAAATAAGAATACAGTAACGTATTCAGAGGAAGTGGGGAAAAGCGCAGACAGCAAGAAGTTATCATTATGTTTTCTTCAGGTTGGTCTGGGTGTAGGAAGTTAATTACTTTCGTGATCTTGTGGTGCTGAAATTGAGATACATCAGCTAATGGGTCTTACTGAACGCATCACCGCGCACCGTGGTATCTCCTTTGTAAACTGACCTTCTGTGTGCAATTCAACTTCATCTGAAAGGCAACATAATACTTCCAAACAATTTAGATTAATGTCACTGAATCGCGCTGCGCATTAAAGGTTTTCCCATACGAGGTTCTGAAGAGAAGGGCAGTTTATCAAGGTGTAAAAATAAAGATGGCGAGTTTAGTAAGGAGTATTTTTAAGAAAGTGACAGCAAAGTGGTAATAAAAAGGCACTTGCGACTTGAGGTATTCCACCGCGAATTGTATGCAGCGTCAGTCGCTGTGGATTTGCCCCACAAATTGAGTAAGGGGGACGCCACAGTAATACGGTATGTAAGGAAGACTCGAATGCACACTAACCGAAGGGTTGTGCTTGCCTCCGTATGTCCCCAGCAGCTGGGCTGGTGATGGGCTGCATGATCTACCCGGACGGCTGGGACTCGGCCGAAGTGAAGCGGATGTGCGGCGACAAGACGGACAAGTACACCCTGGGCGCCTGCACCGTGCGCTGGGCCTACATCCTGGCCATTATCGCCATCCTGGACGCCCTCATCCTCTCCTTCTTGGCCTTCGTGCTGGGCAACCGACAGGACAGCCTGCTCCCGGAGGACTTCCAGGTGGAGAGCAAAGGTAAGACGAGTCCCCGGGGAAGGCGTTGTCACAGTGCTGCGGTGTGCCGGGGCTGGGAGCCCGAGTGCTCTATGCTGGCCGGAAGCTACAGTCTGTCCCTATCCACGCTGAGCTGCACCGCTTGTAATGCACAGACTTCAAGCTCTGATTTAGATTGAAGATGAAGTCTCGCTACGCAAGGCAAACATTTTCAACAAAGTAATTACAAAGCCAGGGCACTACGAAAGCAAGAGAAAAACACCCAAGAGCAAATTCACATCGTATGGCCAAGCCATCCCCGGTGACACGGCGATCGAGACGGACAAGATTGACGCCACGTTGGCGTCAGTCCGTCATCTTCATTAGCTCAACGCAGCAGTGTCTCGGAGATTACGGGCATGTTCCTAATGAGACTGTATGCTAACTTCAAAAGACTGCCGCTATAAAAATAAATCACAGTAAAAAAAAAAAAAGAATAAAGAGGATGAAATGAAAGCGGCCAGGACCTTGAAGTGACGCAAGTTTAATTATTGAACTCGGGCTAGTGTTCCCTCGGCAATGAAAAATGTAAGAGCAGGAAAGGGAATGGGTGGAAAGTACAGTCAAGCCGGGTAATTACTCCCTGCCAGGTCATGTGGAAATACGTGGCCTTAGAAATAAAAGCGGTCATTACCGTGCGCTTGTTTCTTCCCGTCAGCTATAGAGGGAGCTGTAAGATTAAGATATAAAGTAAACAATAGAGGAGAGTTCCACTCGAGGCCCGCAGGCATGGTAGTTGCGGTGAACCAGGCAAGAACCCCCAGAGGTGAAAACTATGTGCATTTGTACATAAACCCCAACCAGGTGTTGTCAGCATAATTTAAATAAATTCAGCTCATTACATGAAAAAGATCAAACTACGGCGGAATGGACGCTATTCTTAAACCTGTAAATATGTCTACAAAACTGGCACGTAAGAACATTTAAAAATGTTAAATATTATTCGAGGTTCCAGTGATTGCTGCCCTTGGTTACCATTTACTGTACTTATTCCGTATCAGTAGGAGTACATGGTGTAGCCAGGAAAAGACGCCCTCTAGTGGCCACTGCAATCCCATCATTAAGAACACGAAGGCAGCGAGAGCTCAGGCTGGCTCTTTTGTCCATCTGTTCATCTACGAACTGCTTTTCCCAGTTCAGGGCTGTGGGGGAGCTGGAGCTTATCTCGGCAAGAAAGGGGTGCAAGGTGGGGTACCCCCTTGGATGGGATGCACACGCCAGAGCCAGTTTTCCCAGTCGACATCTAACAGCACCCCAGGTGTGGCGCTCAACCCAGGGCCCCAGCACTGCGAGGCAGGAATGCTTACCACTGCATCACCCCGCCTCTCAGTCCATTTATCATTACTGTAAATCTAGTGTCATTACACTAAGTTAACCCATTTAATGGGCTGCACCGATTCTTGGAATCCAAATCCCCCAGCTGTTATAAATGTACCCAGTGGTGTACAATAGCAATCCCACAGTGAACTGTGTAACAATGACATCATGGTAAAAAATAAAGATGTATGATGAAGCACAGCAAATTGTGTGGAACCATGACTATGTAAGTATGCTGCATAAACATGGTAACACCACAGGGCAAACTGCAATGATACAGTGCACATTTACATTTGCAATAACGTTTCCTAAAGGCCTTGCCCAGAGATTAGCTCAGCTAAGCAGTTATGTTACTTGGGGAGTGTTTTTCTAATATACAGTAGTAAAGTAATTTCAAGTATTTAATCCTCATCGTGTCCAGCAGTTAAAATTCAGTTCTACGCCCAGTCTGTCTCATGACATAGAGCGACAACACTACAGGAAAATGGTACCTCTGGTATAGAAATCTCTTTGTTGGTGGAACAGGTGTGACTTCACCAGAAGAACAGCAAAAAGAAATCAGTCAGAACTGACATTAGGTGGTGGATATGAACAGAGGTCACTAGACAACAGTACATGTACTGTACATCAGGTTCTTTACTAACTGCTTATTGTTACAGAAAATGTAAGATTAAATGTCTTTTTAAAATTATTTACAGCTATTAAAGATTATACTAATTCATTTTTTTTTTTTACAGAGGGAGGGCACGCTTAAGTTTGGAAAGCTCTGCGACTTTGTAGCACTTGTCTCCAGCAATATGACCCTGAATCTTGGGCTCAGCTGCAGGGTGCAAATCTTTGAACTGTTTTTATTCACTGCAGGGTGAAAGGTTGTTTTTCATTTTAAGGGTAATTTTAGTTACAAGAACAAAGACCCCAAAACCCCCTCAAAAAAGGAGGTCAGTTTAGAAGATAAATACATTTTTCAAGATCACCAAGACAGCGCAGTGACTGGAGGATTCGTAATTCCTGGAGACTGCATCAAAGCATCCTGGGAGTATTTCACAAAACTGCTTTTATGGCTAAGAAGGTCCCAGAATAGGGTGATCTGACAACCGGAATGAACCCTTTAAAAATTCAAAAGACTCCACCTTGCTGCACACTTCCACACAGAGACAGAAGGGGGGAACAGGGCAATAGCTCTGAACTTCAACCTCAAAACTTCCCATCTAAAAGCAAGACATGAAAACTGCAGTTGTCACCTTCAGAATTTGCTGTTGTGAAGAAAAAATAATGGACAAGATCCTGAAAACATTCAACGTGTTTATACTTGGAACCTCTTTATTTAATGTGAAGGGGTCAGTGGAAATGATAAAAGGTTTGGTTTTGTGCCTGCCTGGGTGCCCGGGCTACAGGGAGAGTCCACCACCTATACATAGCAGGAACTTAATCAGAACTTCTAAACCAGTGTTTAGTTGTGTGAGTGGGGATGCTGAAGGAGGCGTCATCCTTCAGATGGAATCTTAAACTGAGGTCCTGACTCCTTGATCATGAACAATTCCTAAAACACCCTTTATAAGAGTAGTGGTGTTAACTTACTCAATTCCCTTCTGGGCTTGTACTGTCTGGCCTTTGTAAAGCTTCTTCTTAATTTAGCCGGTGAAGTAATTTTTCACTTCTCCCCTTGATGTGCGGTGGAGTGGGGCAACTGTAGCAGAACAAGAGCCACATGTGCCCCAGGTGGGTACTGTAACTTAGTGGTTCCTCTCCTAACCCACTTAAATTTCTAGTGTGTAAACACTGTGATTATAAGGCTTATACTGTAGCTTGGGAGTCTTTAGTTCCAGTTCTGGTGTGTGTTGGTTTTCTAAGCCTCTTCAAAACACATCTAGAACTGGAAAACATTGTTTAATTAGTTCAATCAAACAAATTACAAGATAATGTAAGCCCTTGAGAATGGATTAGGAGTGAAAATCTGGGCTGAGACTGGAATTCCAATTGAGGAGAATAGATGCTCCTTATTATTTTAGAATATTTATCCACAGTTTTTAAACATTTTAGTAGACTCAGTTTCTGTTAGTCCTTGCATTATTAAAATGACTGTGTGTTACTCATTTGACTTTTCCAGCTGTGATATTGTTATATTGATCCTCTAATCCCAACCAATAGTCTATTTTCAGTAAAGGCTCAGATGCAATAACACACTTGAGATCAGGAAATATGTATATTTTCTCCAGTCAAGCAAACCAAACTATTCAAACAGGTTGAGGCTTGAGGTTGTGGGTTCAAGGCTGCTAACTGTGAGCAGATCTGCCAAGCAGCAGTTGTCAACAGCTGGATGTGACCGAGCTACAGCATCTTTGTACGACTGGGCCTGCGACTTCAGGCTCACTCTGAACACCCCTGCTTGAGGGAAACAAAGCTGTTTGCCTGCACCTGTCAAGATGCACAAAACTGGCTCCATATTGAAGAGGCCATTGGGTCCTTAGAATGCAAATGTCCAGCAAATGTGCTAACCACTGCCTTTACTGGCCATCCTTGGCATGAAATAGTACAGACTATTATGATTTGATCCACAGAAAATTTAGAATATATTACATTTGTGCATAATTTACTGGAAATTGTGTAAAATACCATGTCCCACATTGTACAACTTAAGGTTAGCACTGCCAGATGTTACAAACGAGTAGTAGACACTTGTACTTGTATTGTAGACTCATAACATTGATCATATTTGCTTACCTTTGTAAATTAATCATTAACATTAAATTTAATAAACACTTTTCAAAATTGCAGCCTTTGATGCCGAAGCCCACTCAACACTTGACCTAGATCAGGCTGCTCACTATTCCTACACAGCATCATAAAAAAAGGATCAAACCCTTGTTATACTTAAATGTTCACGCTGGTTTGATTAAACTGTATAAACACAAAGCTACAATCTCACGTGTTACATCATTAAAATTCAGTTGCTCTCCAAGTTTTAAGTTACCGGTAATCCTGCCAATGAAAGAACCCCTGGCATTCAGCTGTTACTCACCAGGTCTGCCATAGGACTGACTGAACTTCATCCGTTGCGCTTAATGTCTGGACTGGGACACGGAAACCAGGTGCTCTCCATGTGGAAAAAATAAACCAATGCCATTTCAGGTAACATGACGAAAACCATAACTGTATACACACTCACTGCAGAAACATGCTGCACTCTGGACTTTGCTTATTCGGAGGGAAACGCAACGCCTCCATATCTGAAAAATAAAGTCGCACGAACCTTTGAAACAAAAATGAAATTGAGGCAAGTATGTTTGTCGTCTTCACTCCCTTCTTTAGTGTCTAAACTGTTCCTTACTTGCTTTCCCAGAAGTCAAACATTTTTAAGTAGCAGCCTTTTTTTGCAATGATCAAACAAGAGCTCCAAAAATGACAGCAGCACTCTGGGTTCCTGGATCCAGATACCACGAGCTCCAGAGTGGAAACTGCTCACTGGGGTCAGTGCCGTCAGTGGTACGGCTCCGTCTCACACCTGACCCCCCTGTCACTCCTTGAGCGGGCAGCAGAGATCGCAGTGCATTACAAAGCAAATGGCTCGATGGGAAGTCCCCTCTGGGAAGAGGATTCGTTGCCGTGGGACAACTCATACAGCCACACCTGGCAGTTTCAAACGGGCTGTGTACAAACACAACTGCAGATTACGCAAAAGTACATTTCTAAAGACAAACTGAGGCAAAGTAAACAGAACACTAAAGCTCCAGACTCAGCCAGCTTTTCATCTCAAAATCCTCTTTATTATTTGGGAATAAAGGAAAAGTAATTTCTATCATTTAGATTAGCAGTGAACAATCAAACGCATGAAGAGAGACCGAGCGCGCTGCTGCAGACGAAAAGATGTGCACACTGAAAAGGCTGTCAAGTGCAGACGTCTTCGCCAGAGGAACAAGAAAGAGCTCCATTGAGATTCATAGCATGATCACAACCTGCTCCTTGTTTCTTTTTCTCAGTTTTCCTTTCATTCTGACACCTACCGAACTGTAAGCAACTGCATCGGTGTGAAGAAATCTTCAAAAGCAACTAGACAGGTAGCTGACAGATCCACAAGGCATTTTCAGATTAAAACAAACCACTATCCAGCTAAATATTTTAGCTAATACATACCAAATGTGGAATTTCTTACTGTACATGGCTGTAATATACAGAACAAGGCCAACTCTTTGGTACGAGTATATATATGTATACATCTCTATACATTTTCACTTTTTTTTACTTTGTCTCATCGATTCTGACAGGCGCCCGCTTAAATACGATCACTTTTTCCCCACGGCAAAACAGAACATACTCAGTCAACAATGTTTTATACTCGCACCCAGGCAATACAATGAAACACAGAAACGTCACAGGAATAAAAGATCTTGACAGATTTAAATGTGGTTCTTTATCAGGAGCCTATGTACTGCAGGACAGAGGACAGTCAATGAACGGGCTGTCAATATCACCCAAGATATTTCCAAAGACGAACAATGTGGAACCTGTGCTGAGGGGGACTTGATGTTTGTGAAGGATCTGAAGCTGCTTCCAGATGGAGACACTTTCCAGAACAACTAGCTTTCAGAGAGGCACTGAGAAGCAGTAGCCGCACGCAAGAGTCTTTGGCTACTGACAAAAAATCTGGTCATCCCTCTTTTCCAGAGGTGGGAGATAACATGCCACCCAACCCAAAACTGACCCAAAAGTAACTGCTAATTTTCTTCAGCACAGCTGCAAAAGTATTTAAGACAAAACAAACAAACAGAACAAAATTATTTGGGGGAAATCACATCACCCCACAGCCCTCCTCCAAGATAAAACAATGGTTTAAAAAATCTTGCAATAGTGTTCTTAAATACTTTTTACTTGTGCAGCAGCAACAACGACCCCACACACCCCAGTAGTCCGGTGAACCAACCAGACAATATACAAAACGTATGGAATTCATATTACAAAGATATTAAGAGAGATCCTTTCAATGTGGAACTGGAAGGTTTTGAGTAAACTGGATGTGTCCTCCTTTCCCTTCTCCCCATTTGTTTGGGCCCACAAGATCAGAAAACGAGCACGGAGGCCTTCAAGCAGGAGACCTGACCAAATCCGCAAATCCTTCTGACACTACGCTATTTCAGCGGAAAGGAAATCTAATGGAAAAAAAAGTCAAGTAACATCCAGTAAGTAAAATAAAAAAAGAAATAAATAGGTGGTAAATCAGCTAGATTGGACCGCGGTTTCTCCTCCTGTGCCGTCTCCAGCATGCTCCGGGCCTGGACAGCGGCGCCAGGTGCTGCGCGGGGTCGAGTCCTGTCGCTCGGGGCGCCTGGTCTGAAGGGGCCTGTGGTGAGGTGCGGATGGTGGTGGGGGCGGAGGGGGGGGCGTGGGACGGCGCGCCCCGTCAGGGGCTGAGCCAGGCGTGGCGCAGGCACTCTGCCGCTGTGGCCCTCTTCTCCGGGATGAGGTCCAGCATGGGCAGCAGGAAGTCCGCGAAGCTCTGCGCCTCCTCGCGGGGCCACTCGTACTTCTCCACCAGCACCTCCAGCAGGCCCCAGGGCTTCAGTTTGGTGATGTGTCGCAGGTCCCCTGCAGGGCCACAGCACAGGTGTGGGCAGTCAGGAGGGGGCAGGGGAGAGCAGGGAGGCTCAGCCAGAGAGGCAGAACTACAGAAACTCAGCCTCGCCTGTCAGCACTAGGCTACTGAAAGCCACAGGAACAATATGCAGAGCTGGAAGCTGTGCATGTTAACAGTCAGCAGAATAGCAGTTCATCTGAACTACCAAACGACCTGCTATGAGACAGCGGTGCTCTAAACACTGATTTTGACCAAAATATTTAGTTTATCAACTCTCTGCACAGAGAATGAAAAATGTCAGATTTTTTATCAGTTGTGCTCCCCCCAGTAAAAAAATCTATTTGCCTCAGATATGAAGTAAGAGGGATTATGATCTACACAGTAACAATTTCACAATAAAAAAGACAGCAACTGTGAGCTTCTAAGGTTTCCAGAGTGGCAGGAAATCTTCCATTCAATCTTCAGAGCTACTGCAACAGTTTTAAGAACAGAGACATCTGACTCATCAAAGTTTTGTTTAGAGCTACATCTTCAGCTGTAAAACTGCAGGGATCAAATTAATCCCGGGTTGCACCACACACAATAATGATGATTTCCACGTTTTTTTTAGTCCTAGCAATAATAAACTATACTGCATGAACGTCTACCAAGTCTACCAAGATTTAAACAGGTTTTTAATCTGAAGTTTAGAAGTCAAATTACATTTTCATCTTGGCAAAACTACCAAAAAAAACCTTAAACTCTTTACCTTTCTTGGTGAAAAACTCCTTGGAGTATTTGCCAGCAGCAATGAGCTTGCGTGGTACTTTCCCGAGCAATTCAATGATCAACGCAATGTGATCTGTACGTTAAAGACACCCAGAGAAAGGGGAGGGCAGGGGAGGTGGGCGACAGGAGAGGAGAAAAGACAAGACAGACAATAATTTCATCAACACAACAAAGCCAGGAGAAACAGCACCGCCCTGCTGGCCAGGCCAGCAGCAGAGAGACACGAAGAGCTGGCTGAGAGAGCAGGACATGGCAGCTGCCTGCTGGAGGCAGGATCTGACCCCAAATGGGTATAAAAAATGCTTTTTTCACTTCCATTACTAAGGCCAAATTGTAAAGCACATTCAATTCAGGGGTGTCACCTCATGAAACTTCGTGAAGTTATAGGATTGGGTGACTCCCCCTCCCCTCCATAATGTTTGTTCTACTTTCAGAAATGCACAGGGGGAGGATGTGAAATTAGACCTATGTCACCACTTTCTGTTTGTGGATTCATGTGGGCTGACAAAATGCAATAATGTTCAGTGTCAAGCCAGGTGCTGCTGCACTGAGCTCTATGAAATCTGTATGAGATCAGATTCCAGGGGCGGCAGCCCAGCACGCCAGAGAACAAACCTCCAGCACTCCTCCTCGTTTTCAATTCCCAACTGAGACAGACCTGGTGGACAACATTTATCAATTCATCGTATGACATGGGAGGAACCCCACCATGAGAGTATAATCCCAGCACCTTTTCTATTCATAGGCTGGAGAGGTTGATCTACTTTCTATTTTCTCTTACTTTAATTCTCTTCTCCTCTCTACAATCTATTTCTGTCTCCTTTCCATCCTACATGTGATGCAGCCCAAAATCAGATAATCTGCTGAAAAAAAGGCATGTATTAGTTCCTTGCACCAAATGTACAGAACAGCACCACACTTCTATAAACAGTCCTTATGTTCTGTGGGCCCAAGATTGGACAGACTACAGATTTTGCCTACAGGGAAGTGGTATTTCAGAAGTGCCCTGGGTGTGTGTGTGGGGGGGGGAGGGGTGGCCTCTTTACTGCAGGTCTTCAAGCACTCCCATGTGCTGCTGGGAGCGAACCTTCAGCTCCAGTGTGTGCGGCTCTTCTTAAGGCCCAGCTTGTGTCAATCTCTGCTGCCTGCTGTCTCAATGCCAGGTCGGGGCTTGGCAATAGGCACCAGTACTGTACCTCTACGCGTGAAGTATTCCTGTGAGTATTTCCCACACAGGGCAAGGTGTCTGGGGATTTTGCCCATGAGTTCTATAATGAGAGCGAGGTGGTCTGGAGAATGGAGGGGTCAGAGAGATGGAGAGAGAGAAATATAGGCAAAGCACTGAAGTGAGTGAAAGATTGATGTACCAGCAGTATCTGAAATCCTTAATCAATCAAAATAATCCTTAATCTGAAGACTGAATACAAGCCCCTAGCCGACTACAGTCTAGCTCTGAAGTCTTATTACTTGCATCCATGTTGAGCTGACTAAAAACCAAACTGTGTTTCCAGAAAGGACACATTCAAAGCAAGTTAGGCTACAACAAAGCCTCGCAGCTAAGGAAATGGAAACCTGTCCATCTGATTTGGGTGTTTTCTGAAAACCTTTTGCTTTTGAAAAAATAAAATCCCCCGTCTCGCAATAATGCTTTCTTAACCTACAATCCTGGAAGTCATAAGGCCCTGTGAAGCACAAAACTAATAATAAAAGCTGCAGGATCCAAACCCCAAAAGAAAAATGAATACTGAAAGGTTAGCAGCAAACCTTAGGGAAAATAATTAGAAAAGCACACCAAAGTTACTTGGGCTCATGCACTTTTAAATGGCACCTTGCCTGGTTAGTAACCCAGGTGAATAAATCAGACTGTATCCAACTGTTACTGGAGCAAAACTAGTCAATCCACACAAGCACAGCTCATACTGGATGGTGTGCATTGGCGGTGTTGTGCAACCCAGAGCTTTTGCTCTTTCACGCCACGACCTCTGAAGCTTCTCTATGATTGAGACAAATCAGATGTGGGGCTCAGGTGGCAGAGAGTTGAAAGCACCATGGCATTCTGGAAGCTATAATTTCATCTCCATTCGCAGCACAACCCTAACCTTTACAAATACAACTGCTGCAGTCATAGTAATCTGCAGCCTGAAATATCATTGGGTACTTTTACGGAACTTTCTCTTTATTATATGGCCAGTTTGCACAATCCTATAAGTGGAGACTTACAGAATTTGTTTAAAACTGTCTAGGTTAAGAGAAGCTTCCAGAAGTGTGACTGTTTTTTTGGTCAAGGTGCTATTAATCACACTTCTAGTCCCTGAATAAGAATAGCGTCAAAACTGACAAGCTCAAGTAATAGCAGTTATCATTCTGAAATAACCAAGTTGCTTTGCACACCTTGACACAAACTCCAACATTAATGTATCTGGTACTGTAATAATTCCAAGAGTGTGCAATTGGATGACAGTCCTCTGGCATGCACTTTTAAAAGGGCCTAATTAGCACAAATGGACAGCTTGGGTCAGGTCCAGAGTCATAAGCTTATCAAGCCAGGCTTCCAGTGGCGACGGGCTGAGATAAGGATCTCATTTTATCAGAGGGAGGGATAAAATGTCTGTTTAGTCTATCCTGAGTTAAAGAAGAAGCAGGTCAGCTAAAAAGCAGCCATGATGGAGAAATAGAACGGGTACAGTTGCTTTAGAGCAATAGCACGAAGTAAAGAGGGGGTTGATGTTTTAGTTCTACTCAAATACAAAAATATGCATAACCTGTGAACTCCTGTACTTACAAGAGACCTATGAGAGAAAGCCTAGATTTCCCCGCTAGACAACAGACCCCACAGGGAGGAGGGAACTCTGTGAGCTTCAGGTCGATTCAACCCTTATAAAAACAGCCAGCTCTGAGAAAGGCCACACAGCAGGTCGAGCAGGAAAGCAGCTGGGATCAGTGAAACATGGCTGGAAAAGTGAAGGAAGGCTGGGGGAGGTGTGTGAAGACAGTGTAGTTTCAGTGGAGCTGTAGAGAGATTTGTTTGCTGTTTAAGGAAATGAATTATCCAAGGTTGGGGAAATACACACAGGAACAGAGAGTGTGAAATACTGGGTAAATGTTACTGTACATGACATTCGAATGGAGCAGTACACCACAGAAACACAGGCCTCAGTGTTGTCATCAAATATTAACAGCTCAGAGAGGTAATGAAGTAGGGCCAAGCTTTCCCGTAGATTAATATTTATCAAGTTCAACTATACATATGGAATAGTGAAGGGAAGCATTTACATAACTAGGGTGGAAAGACAGTTTTCCCACAGAGTCAGAATCCAGGTCTTCGTCTGATGCACTGTTTGTAAAGCCTGTGTATCGGTGATCTAGTACAACAAGCTCCACGTTTTAAAAACATACTAAAGAACACAGACTGCCCCAAAAGGGACACTTTTGAGTCTATATTTATCAATTTCAAATCTGAATAAGGACTGACAGTCTGTATTTTACTTTATTTTCTACCCCACCAGCTTAAGCCTTCTGTCCACTGAAGCAAGAGTAAAATATCACATTCTTTAAAATCGCTCATGACCCACACTCAAAGACCTTGGAAACGTCCACAGTCTTGGTTGTCTCTGCAATACTTTAAATTCAGCTGGAGCAAACCAAGTGGACTGCCCAACATGAGACTTGCAGAAGGCATTTTTGACATTTGGCACAATATCGATACCTCCCAGGCTAACTGTAGTCCTCTTTTGAGTTGATAAGATTACAAAGACCTCCAAGACAGCCTTTCAATACTGCTTTAAGCAAAACAGAACTTAAGTTCAGCTTCCATACACTAGAGAAGGTGCGTAACAGGCAGAGGCCCTCCCTACCTTCATCTCTTGAGTAATCTTCTCCAGAATGTGGTTCAAACAAGTAATCACCCGTCGCCAGTTCAAATGCCTGAAACGATACAAGACCCACACACCCCCCAATCAGTGTACCACAGCCACAACCCTTGACCATCAATCAATATGACGAGCCATCAATTTCCCTTCGGGATCAATAAAGTCTTATCTATCTATCTTGACCCCAACATTTTACAGTGTGCCAATATGACAAGTGTCATGGTTTCGGGGTGTGGGGTCAGAGGATGCTTGGGTCAACCTCAAACCCACCCACATGCCTGACCTACTGCGTGCAGCCCCAGCTGGACCACTGGTCACAGGTGGATAATGATGGATCCAAACCTGCAACATATTCTCTCTGTGACAGAGGAAAGCCTTTTCCAGGAAGAGCAACTCTGGAGTCTCTTACTTTAGCTGATGCTTTCATTTGATCTGGAACTTTCATTTTAAGTTCAAGTTCCAGTTTATTGTCATTATACTCATATAGAGGTATATGGTATAACGAAATGCTATTTAGCTAGCTCTCAGACAATAAGTAGAACAAAAAAAAACAACAATACAACTGTATGATAAAAGAAAGACAGAGACAACAGGCTGTTCAAAACAACAACAGATGTGCAAAAACATGCATCAACAGAATGAAATAAAGGATGGAAAATTATGGGGAGTGAGCTTTTTCACCTGTAAGGTAGAGGTAGATTTCAATGTGTGTTTGAGTTTTTGGTAAGAAAGAAGGCACGGTGTTAAATGAAAGTACTCAAAGTTAATCAAGTAAGGCAGAAATTCTACACCTTTCTTCTGGTCCTCTTATCAATCATTAAAAAAAAATATTTAGATACTTGATGTCTTTATAAAGATTTGGAGACACGCATTGAATAGAGAAACAGCGCATTGAATCTTCGCCTTTTCATGCTTACTGTTAATCAGTGTTTGGGGAGAAGGGAGTTGCTTTTTGATCTGCTGGACAGGTTGGGCTTGGTAAAGATTGTCCATATAGGTTATGTATTAGGAAAAGATCACAGTTACTAAACCCAAACAAAGAAACCAATCCGATTAGGGTAATTCCTGAGTGATGGTCTGTTGGAAGTACTGCAGTCTATTGCCTTGTCCACACTCCATGACTGATCTTGAAAACCACACTTGGAAACACATGTCCACAGTGGAGTACTAGATCCATCTAGTGGCTTACTTTGTGCAAAGTAGGATCATGCGAAGGCTGCAGTTCACATTGGTGCAAAGATGTTGAGATTGAGTACAATGGTGTATGTACGTTCATCATTACAGCCCTGCAAATATCGAGTCAATTTAAAAGGAAGATGTAGGACTAATAGGCTTATTTCAGGAAAAACAAGACCACTTGAGAAACTAGGAATACAATTGCAAAATCCCACATCAGCAATTTCACTGATCCATTTACTGGTGACGGGCATGACTGCCATCTGACCACCCTGCTTCTCAAAGCCCCACCACTTAGGCCTTCAAATTGTGAACAGAAAGAGAAGCTGAATTCATAAGAGATGACCATCAATATTTTCACATATTGGTAACAAACCAAGTGTACAATATGGTATAAGCAGCACTTGGAAATGTAAGAGTATACACTCAAGGATCCCAGCTGGACTCAGTCTGTCTCTCCAGGCCATCTAATGCCTGGTTCTTTACCTTAATACAGTTTTAAATCTGGTCATGAACCACAATTGACGCCTTCAGACCAGTTCTAAGACCATTTTGAGACTTAAAAGTGTAAAGGCCTAGTGTGGACAGGACCTACAATACACAGTGCAAGGCACCAGCAGTTTAGCTCTGGCTCTTACCATGCATGCTGTACTCCAAATGTCCGCAGGAGTGCTGTACCCAGCCCCGATCAGCACCTCCAGCGATCGATACTGTCTCGTCTGGATATCTTCTGTGAAATGCTTGTGCTAGTATAAGGAAAAAAGACAGATTAAAAAGCCTTTAAGCAACTACAGCTGTGATTCACTGACTCAGGGGTATTTCAGGATCAGAAAGAGAAAGTTGACTAAAAGCAAGACAGCATTTCCTATTCTCTGTTAGACTGTCTGCAACAGAAACAGGTGAGGGGGGGAGTCCCACTAAGTCAGAGAAGGCCTACAATCACAGGGTGGGGGAATGAACAAGTAGAACGCATCAAAATCTGAGCTTAAAAAGCCATTCCGTAAGAGAACACAAAAAGGACAGCATGCAGTGCAATCTAAGGTGCTCAAAGACAATAATTCACTTACAAGAAAAAACATTTAAGCTGTGCTGTGTGACCATGGCACAGTCCTAACTGGAGGGCACACCAGTTCATACTCACCACCCAGCAGGCGTTCCCCAAGTCAGCGATCTTCACTTTCATCTTGTCGGCGTTCAGGGGCTCTAGGGGATTCACCAGGAGATTGCCTGCTGCTATCTTGGCTGCAACATTTCAGTAAAATGAAAAAAAAACAAACTACTCAGCTTGGTTTTTAAAATAAAACATACAGAGCAGCAGGAGTAGAAAACCACTCAACTCTAAACATGGTTTGATTCGCTCCTTCTGGTTTGATTGAGGACGACTGCTCAAAAGCAGGAAGACCATCTCCATTACTCTTCCAGAAAGGATTGCTGCACTGCGGTGGTCTGACAGCCAGTTTACAGGAGGTACATTTCACACAGAATGGCAGTCCTTTTATTACCACTACTGACTGTTAAAGGTAAATTTGAATAAAAATTGAATGCACACAAACTGCGCACAAATGTATGACTCAATCACACTTTGAAAACCAATGTACCTGAACTCTAATACCCCAATACAAGAAAGGCCCGATATGAGAGGTCATTTACAACAACAGCCCGGAGACCTATTTATAAAGCAGGGCATTTAATGACACACTTAGAGTAAAGCATCTTGCTCAACAGCAGAGACGTTTATCCTGCATGTCACAGGGAGTGTGGGAAAAAACTGAAGAACCAACAAAACCTACATAAAAGTGGGGAGACCGTGCAAGCTCCACACAGACTGGATCCCTGGAGTTGGGATGCAGTTGTGCTAGCCAGTGTACCACTTTGTTAACCCCATTGTGTTTCCCCACATTTAGCAAAAAGCAAACAGGTGCTTAAGTAAGGCTAGTTAAGTAAGCAGAGGGGGGAAATGATGAAAAACGAAACATATCCAACCCGATTTCTCTTGGGAACGAAAAGGTTGTGGAACTGACCGTTCCTCAGGTTGTTCTCTATTCTGATCTGGCTGTCGGGGCTGTCTTGCGCTCGGCCCATGTCCTCCTGCGGCCCCCTGCCGGCTCGCCCGTCAGGCTGCAAGCTACAGGCCTCAGCCTGAGGCTCGCCTCTAACGCAAGGTCCATTGCCATCGGGGCCCGCAGCCTCCTCGCCCTGCGCCGTGCCGTTGCATGACTGGTAAGCGGAGTTCAGGAGCAGCATCTGGTTCTGAGGGTACAGGTCCCTGGGCACACAGTCGTTGGCGTTGTGGTGGTCTTCCTCCTTCCTCATGGTTCTCCTCTCTTCGTCTTCCTCCTCCGTGGTGAGGCCCTCTCGAACGTGTCCGTTACAGTTTAGCTCCATCCCGTCTCTCTGCCCCAGAATGACCTCCTGGTGTCTGTCCTGTCTGCCGTTGCCCTCTGCATGGCACATAATCAGATGTGGGTGACCATCAGATGCAAAACAAGGGTTTTTATTGTTGAAAATCTATGTACTTTGTCTAACTGGGCTGAACTGGCCCCCTCTTTGTTCTCGCACAGCTACAAGCTACATTCAAACCGTCACATTTGTAAAAAGAATGATCCAGACAGACCAGATCCTTTCTTCCGTCACTTAGCCAAAGGTGAACTTAAACCACATGACTGACAAAATAAAGCTAAGGTCACTCTGCTGCTCAAAGACCTTTTCCTAATTAAAAAAAAATCAATAAAGAAAAAGTGTCCTGTGCTGCAAGACACAAACACTCAAGTTATCTTTACAATGGGAAGTCAGCAGCAGATTGTTTTATCTCCTTTAGGTTTTGTGACCTGAAGATTCATATAAAAAAGTTTTTTTATAACAGTCATAACAGCAGAACAGCATTTAGTTAGCAGCTACATCACCCTGCAACTCACAAACTGGTAAACCACCGAAGGTCAGCAGGTGTGAGTCTGGCCAGTACCTGGACAGGAGACCTCCTGGGAAAACTAAGGTTGCTGCTGGAAGAGGTGTTAGTGGGACCAGCAGGGGGCGCTCATCCTGCAGTCTTTCAGGGTCTTTATGCCCATTATAGAGATGGGGACACTGTACTATTGTCATTTCGATGAGATGTAAAACTGAGGCCCTGACTCTCTGTGGTCATTAAAAATCCCAGGACATTTCTCTTAAAGACCCTGGGGTCTTAGCCAAATTTCCAATTGGCCGTTACCAATCATGGCCTCCTAATAATCCCCATCTATGAATTGGCTTCATTACTCTGCTCTCCTCCCCACTAATAGCTGATGAGTGGTGAGCGCACTGGCGCACTATGGCCGCCGTCACATCATCCAGGTGGGGGGCTACACATTGGTGGTGGTAGAGGGGATCCTCAAGTTCTTTGAGTGGAGTGTCCAGAGAACTGCTATATAAGTGTAAGAATATTATCTTGACATGCCAATTTACTCAAGACAAACCATAAAGTAGAGATGTATATCGAATATAGTAGAATTTCCACTACAGGCTAAGGGGTACTACTGGAGACCAAGCAGCAAGTAAAAACTGAAACAGATCTAAATGCCGCTCAACTGGAGTCTCATCTATAACCCTCCATGACGCAGACCAGCCCGGCCACTCCAGTCACATGACCTCACCAGCTTCCTGCTCGTCTGCCATGTCCTGCAATGTGGCTTCTTTGAGAGGCACGCAAACGGGAGCCTCAGGGGTGTCCGGCTCCTGGCCTTCCTCCTCCTCGTCCTCCTCACCCCCCTCGGGGCCACGCTCCAGCTCCTCCAGCTCCATGATGCGGCGCTCCAGCAGCTCTGCCTGGCGCTTCTGCTTCTTCTTCAGCTTCTTCTTCTTGTTCTTGGACATTTTCACCATCTTAAGGGGGACAGGCAGGTGGGGTCAGACCAGAGCAGACGCACACCACAGAAGGGGAGCCCAGCTCCTATCCTGGTAGGCCCCAGTGTCTGCAGGTTTTCACCACAGCTCAGCTCTTAGCTGTCTAATGTCTCCGATAAAAATCTTTCCCCAGTTCTTGCAGGTGTATGTAAATAATGAGGAGCTCTGGGACTGGATTAGTGCACCCCTGCGCTACGGCCACACCCCTCTCAAGAAACACACACCCCTATACAATATACAAGAGGTCTGCAGAGCACAACAATGCCCAGTATCCACTGCATGGGCAGCAGGTATTTAAAAACAGAGGGAATGTTAAAAAAATCTTACCGGTTTTGGCTGTGGGGCTGTGCTCACTGTGAAGAGAGATAGCAGAGGTCAGTCTCAATTCCTGTGTAAACTAAAACCCTCAGCAGGTTTTAGGCAGCAGTGCTGACTAAAAATGGAAGTGAGCAATGGTGGTGATCAGAAGAACCAACATGCAGGTGTGTATAACGGCTTCACATATGGCCTGTGCCATTTCTGTAGCTTAAGTGCTAAAGCTTGTCTTAAAACTGTGAAGGAGCGCTAATCAAGCAGAGCAACAGCTTTTTTTTTAAGCCCATGAGCAGGATGTGCTTCTATTATTAAAATTCTAAAAACAATTAGGTAGAATGCTTATATTAATTATGACAGCTTTTTGCTTAAGAGCTGCTTTGAGGTAGAAACTGTAGATGTTTACAGATGTTCAAAAAGGAGCAAACCCAACAAGCAGCAATGCAGGTCAAACAAAAAAAACCCAGAATACCTAGTCTCAGTGAATACAGCAGGGGGTTTATATGTAAAAAGGAAAGTGGAACATTATGGAAACAGACAAAAACTATAAAAGAAATCAACTGGGTACTATTTAGCATATGGTAAATTAATAAAATGGTGAAAGATCACAAGGTAAAATTGAATCGTGGGAGCCTATGACTTGCACTTCCAGAAATCTAATAAATTCATATCCAACGTGAGGTGGAGCCACTGATCAGTAATCACTTATTTCTACCGGAGCATACGCTGATATTCCGCTACAATCATGTCAGGATGACAGCTTTCGTGAACCTCTTTCCAATCTGAGAGATTACATAAATAGATCAGACGGAGAAATAAACACTGCAGAAAAAAAACTACAAGTGAAGAGGTGTGTTGGTTGCAAAGGAATAAGCAAAGTTTCATTCCACACTGAAAAGCAGAAGAAACGCCATGCTTGATTGCAGCCGACGAAGACCCTGCAGCTGAAACGTTGCTGTTCTTCTTTCACCGTGTTTCAGTGTGGAATGAACTTTTGCAGAACAGAACGACACACATTCTCAGAACGGATCAAGAAGATCAAGGATCGATCCCATCTCCTCACTTCACAAGGGCCACACTGCCACAGGCCACCAGCCAGGGCTTACCTGCAGAGCCGGAGGGGGGGGGCGCCCCCGCTTTCTGCCACTCCGTGGCCTCAGCGGCCAGGCGCCGCACATAGGGCTCATTCACACACATTAGGATATTCTCCGGCTTGATGTCCGTGTGAATGATCTTACACTTGGTGTGCAGGTAATCCAGGCCTTGAAGAACCTACAAGAGAACACATGGAAATCAAAGACTCTTCAAACAAAACTGAACATAAATTGAGGGGTAAAAAAACACGTGGTTCAGGGAACCAGAAAATGGGGGGAAAAGCATTAAGGTACTTAGAACACCCAAAACAAATTTTAAACATAAAAGGTCACTGCTGTTACACTTTTAGAAAGCTTTGTAAAATGGAAGAACAGAAGTGCAATATTGGTTTTAACATTTGTTTTAATTGCTTTCCATTTTCTGGAAGCAAAACTTTATTACATGGTCACTTCCCAATAGCTACTGTCTGGCTCATTTGCAAGGGATGTTTGTATAAGGGACCCATGTGATCTCGGCTGTCCCTGGGTACCTGTCTGATGATGCTCTTGACACAGGGCAGGGGCAGGCCCTGGTAGTTGGACTTGATGATCCACTTGAGAAGGTGGTGCCCCAGGACTTCAAACACCATGCACACATCTTAGAAGAAAACGGGTCAAGGACCGAGAACACAGGACAATCTGGGTAGTGCCCCCATCCACACAGATAGCCTCAAAATGAAGTCTTTCAGGAGTTTAAACAATGCTTTTACTTACGACAAAACATTAAATAACAGAAGAACTGGACAATAAGGACTGCAGCAGCAAACCCAATATATAAGGCTGCTGATTTTACACATTACTAGACTCTAGATGAAGTAAGCTCCTGGACATGTTCAGCACTATTGCTTGTGTCCAAAGTAGACACAGAGGATTGGAGGAACCTGTCTGCCCTTCCACTTTCTCCTCCCACCTCATGTGGGTACAGACATTACTACTGTGAGCCCAGGTGAAACAAAATCTAAATTGGGTAGAAAAAAAGTAAAAGGCAATACTACATGTACTGACATAACAGGTTCAAATATACAGTACCAGTATATTTACTGAGAAACAGCCACAGAGTAATAGGGGCAAGAAAGCTAAACTTAGAAATAGAATAAGAAATAGGAATAGTTACACTCAGAAATAAACAAGAGGGTCATCTCTATGGGCTGAAGATTCCAAGAGAATTTCAACATTTATTTTTAAAAAGTGGGTACAATTTAGCATATGGTAAATAAATAAAAGGGTGAAAGATCATAAGGTAAAAATTGAATCGTGGGACCTGCAATTCCAAAAGTCAATTGGATATGGTAATAAGATTCCAAGAGCATTTCAAAATGTATTTAGAAAAAGTAGGTCTTGTTTAACTTACTAGAGATCTTTGGACATGAGCGAACAAAACGTGATAACATGCATTTACATTTTTAGAAGACAAATATAAAGTTCTTCAAAGACTGTAAATTGTGGTTACAGGGTATTCAAGTTAATGCATGCACTAGGAAGAAACAATGCTTAATGGACAGGACATGGGTTCAGACAAGGGTGGACTGCTGAAATTGGAGTAATTAGTGGTGTACCACAGGGATCTGAATTAGGACCATTTCTCTTCCCAATTTATATCAATGATCTAAATTATGGTATAGCTAGTAAACAAGTCTGCTTCACATATCACACTAAACTGGGAGAATTAACAAAACTGTAGAAGGTACAAAAGAAAATCAAAAAGGTTTGGATCAAATTCAAGTCTAGCGAGCAAATTACCTGGCAGGTGACATTTAATGTAAAGGAACAAGTAAAGGTTTATTCCATGCTGAAAAGAGACAACGTTTTGGCTGTGGAGCTTTCTTCGGATGTCACACGCTTCATTGTCTCTGTTTTCTTCTATTTTCAGCATGGAATAAAACCTTTACGTGTTCCTTTGCAGTCTATGCATGCTGACGCAGCTACCTACTTGAACTACTTCAGACGTTTAATGTAGAGTTAAATTAAGGTAACAAAAAATGATAACACTGAGCTTAAAGAGGCTACTATTGAGAGATATTTATGTTTATATCATCAGTGGTAAAATAACAAGAAAGGCAAACTGTTCTAGGAATAAAAGGTTAGAGTATAATTCAAGTCAAGGGATGTTAAAATTATACAATCCACAATAAAGATCTTGTTTTGAACAATGAGCACTTTTTTGTTGTAAACCAAAAATTAATCATTTTGAAGACAATGCATTAAATAGTATATTCAAAACTGAAACCGGGATGCACTCCTTCACTTAACGGTTTATGGAAATATGGAGCAAACATCTCAACCATGTTGTTGAAACCAATACCCTAGCTTCTTTTAAGAACCAAATCTATTCCAGCAATGGCATTTGATCAAATTGTTACTAAAGAAATGACACAGATGAGCCGATTGGGCCCCTTTCATTTGGTTGTGCTGAGATGGCTGCTCGCACACTGTGCCCCACAAAGACCACATTCCAGGCTGGTAAACAAGAGCTGCTGCTGCAGAGGGCACCAGGACCCAGAAAGGATACGGGTCCCATTCACACCACAGATCTTAAAGTCATCCAGCAGCTGGACGACCATCTCTCTGTTGGGATCATTGGGGTCAGTGTTTCTAACCTGTCACAAAGACAAAAACAGAAGGCAATCGATTAAATTTAAAGCACAGCTCCCACCCCAGGCCAACCTAAAAAAACTAGCAGGCATGCTGAAAAGCTGGATCTCACCTTGAAGCAGTACTGCTAATCTACAAGCCCCTACCAGCTACTCCATCCAGATTTTCCAAATTGTTACGAATGGGCTTGGTGCCTCAAACATTTTTGACATGCTGCATCCTTGCAATTAATAACCATTCTGTTCCCTGTTTAAAGGTACGGCTAGCACAGAAACTTGGCCGAGCCTCTGGACTTCGAAACAACAGTTTAAGTCCACGCTGCACACACTGCTATTGTACCGTGAGGGAGGTTCTTCACCCCAGATGCATTCGCCCACCCAGCTGCATAAGTAAAGACCAGGTTTGCTAGGAGGTAGTCACTGTGATGGACCAGCATGCTGTTAGGGCAGAGGGAAGCCCATGCTCTCAGTCCACTTAATGCTACTGTAACCAGGATGTAAATGTAACTGTGTGAAATTACAGTAGTAATTAGTAACTAGTAAGTAGTAACTATAACAAAGATTACCTTCAAAACCATTTACCAGGCTTTGGTAGACCTCGGATGACCAGATCATTAAATGCAAGATACAAAAATGTGTATGTATGGCCAAATCTTAACTTCATGTGCAACAGGATTTTTTTTTTAGGAGCAGGCAGGACATTACTAGGTCTAGTTAGCCCTGCCCCTTTAAAGACACATACAGTGACAAAAGAGAGACAACCACTCACAGATCTGAGCAGCTTGATCTCGTCCAGGGCCGTCTCGGTGTAGTGCTCTGCACTCTTGACAACCTTCATGGCGACGAACCGTTTCCCCCTGTGAGCACACAAGCACAGCTGAGGACAGGGCCTGGGCAGTCTGCACTATTCCAGCCACCTCCACACTACATGGAATTCAGCTGCAGGATCCCGATGTTGGATGAGTGGACTTCAACTCCCTACATTCTCCGAAAACTGCCCCACAACCCACCCGACCAGCCAATGAACACTAAATTTTGTTGCATGTATCCTTATTACCGGTAGCTGCACTACCATTAGCTACTATACAACATTAGTATCAGTCAACAAAGGCACACGTCTTATGTAGTAAGAGTCAGAGTCTAAGGCTGGAACCCCTGATGAACTCAAATCTGATATTAAGCAGCAGGTGCTGACTTTGACAGTCAGCCCCGTAGAAAACAGGTTGGGAAACCTTTACAACTGCTGTGATTAACAGTTCCACCCCTTGGAAAGGCAACTCTCCTTTGTACAGAATGTTAGAACATTTGCTTTATTTTCATCCCCCTTTTCCTCTTCATCCAGGTGAATGAAAAGGAAATGTAAGATAAGATAAAATAAGATAACTTTATTAGCCATATACAGTATCTTGCATTAGGAATTTGTCTTCTTCACATACCCCAGCTTGCTCTCCATGAGACACACACACACAGACAGAGAGAAGCTGGGGGTCAGAGTGCAGGGTCAGCCATTGCACAGTGGCCCTGGAGCAGTTGGGGTTAAGGGTCTTGCTCAGGGGCCCAACGGAGTAGGATTCCGCTGCCGGCCACAGGATTTGAACTGGCAACCTTCCAGGCACAGGCGCAGATCCTTAGCCACAGTGCCATGAATACAAAGACAAGCGGCTACATCTGAGTAAGTCAGACGACACCTTTCTTTCCAAATAAGAACAACTGATCCCAACTGTGATACACGCCAGAGAAGATGCTCAGAGGATAGTGCTTACTGGATATCCCAAGCCAACCAGACAGTGGAGAAGTGCCCCCAGCCCAGCTTCCGAATGACATGATACCGCCCATTGAACAGGTCTCCAATCTTCACATGATGGTAGCCACCTGCGAATTGGAGAAGAGGGAAGAGTTAAACTAAAATCATTTCATTACTCACCATTCCTCATTTCACCAAGGGCCAATACAATGTCATTTGCATAAACAGAAGGGGGAAGGGAATTCTTAAACCTTCCTCGTAAACTTAGACTTTGAAAAAAACGCAGTGGAGTATTCTGTTCTTAACACAAAATTAAAACGAGTCTAACCTTTTTAAACCTAGCTTATGTCATAAAATTGCACACTATGACAAAATGACAAAGCTATCTGAATTCTGTGTCTCTGTGGAAAATCGTTTACTCTGCATTGTCATGCTATAATCTGAGGGTGACCAATCCCTGTCCTGGAGAGCCACTGTTAATGCAGTATTTATTTCAAATCTGCTCTTTACAACTTGTTGCCTTAACTGGTACCGTCAATGTCCCACAGCTGTACAGATGCTATTGAAAGAAACCTGCAGACAGCATCCTTATAAGATCAGGATTACACACCCATACACAAGCAACAAAACATTTTTTTTCCAAATATTCTTGTTTTATTATCAGCTTGCACAATGGCTCACAATACGGAAAACATCTGAATACTCTTATTTTGATGTAACCCAATACCAGGTTTCCAACAATTGTTTTCAGAACTGCTTATTGAGATTGATTTGAAATTTCACTGTGGTCAGTATTGTTGTTGAGTGTAATAGTAACAAGTATGCTCAGCACACACTAGCTATGTGTGTTAGGAGGAGAACAGAGTAATGAAGCCACAATAAGGATAATTAGGTGGCCATGATTAGTAAAGGCTGGGGAAAATTTGGCTGGACACCAGGTGACACCCCTACCCTTTTTGAGAATTGCTACCACCGAGTTAGGACCTTGGTATTACATCTCATCCAAAAATAGGACATACTTGCTTCTTAAGAATGCAAGAAAGGTTAGAAACAAGATGAGAACATCTGGCTGATCCGTAGCTGGTACAGTAGTGCAAAGGCAGCAACATGAATAAACACATGGAAGGTTTTTTTTTTGACCACATCTGAAAAAATGACAATTTTGACCTCCTACCAGTTTGTAAAATTATATAAGATTTTAACTGTATAGTACATTAACTACATTAAGCATTAAGAAATAAGAACACACACGCAGTGATCAGAAAACAAATCCAGATGACATGACTTTCTAAGGCTGTGATAATGATATACGGGACAGGATCTACAAGCCTGTGCTCATAAATAGTTCCCAATATGTAGCCACTGCCCTTCAAAGCAGGCTGCTATACATTTGAGCATGTGCCTTTTATATCAAGATCTAAATAGAGCTCAAGCTCTGCTGGAGCAGGGATTCCTAACCCTGCTCCTGGAAACCCTCACACACCTGCTGGCTTTCACTCCAGCCTGGCTTACTTACCTCATGGACGCCTTAGCTGAACTCACACGCTGCTTGACTCGAACTTCTGCACGTTTTTTTTTTCTCTACTCAAACGTTCAGGATTTTACAAAACTTAAGAAATATACAAAAAGTCAAGCATTTTCAAATGAATACGACTACTTCAACAACTGGGTTTCAATGGTGCAGCCAAGAGCTCGCTTGGAATAAAAACCAGCAGCTGTGGGGCCTCCGGGACCAGGATGGGGCACCCCTCTGTGCAGGAGCATGTGATTCAATGCTAGTGGTGGCAATACCTCTCGCTGAGGTTGTTTTAAGTACGCCCTCTCTATAGACCCTTCCTTAGACACCTCCCTTGACCAGCGCATGATGTAACTTTGCCCAGGTGGAGACCGTGAGGGGAGAGCTGGGGTCTGAGCCCTCACTCACCCTTGCAGTAGTCGTTCGGGTCCTCCTGCTCTTCGTCATCAGATCCCAGGATCTCCTCCTCCTGCTCGGGGTGCTGGGACTCTGACAGCTGGGAGGGACCCCTGGGGTGAGACTCCGGCCTGAGGAAAGATGACGACACGATGGAAGAGCAGAGCCAGGACCCAGAAGAACGTGCCAGCGGAGCGACTCCAGATATGACAAACCACAAGTGGTAACAGCTCCCTCTCTTGTGCAGGCGAAACACTCCACCTGCTGGTGCAGCCAGGCTCTCCTCTAATTAACCGTCTCTTCTAATCACTCCACTCAAGCAAGGCACTAATCTCACTCACACCTGACAACGGCACAGTATCAGAACCACACAGATATGGGACGGAAACAAATCTTTTTCTACAAAGGAGCACTGAGACTGAGAGCAGGGCGATTTCAACAGTCCTCCTCCCACCTCCCTAAACATCTGCCTTGGTGCATGCATTTCCCAGCCACACGAACCCGAGATGAGAGAACCGATTCCCCACAGCTTGGGACTGAACAGCTGGGAACGTCAGAGCTGCTTACAAAACACACTAAGTCGACACACAGGCACACAGCCAAAAATAGAGCAAGAAAGAGCCGATACTATTTTCCACCAGACTTCCATGTCTCTTTGTGGTAGCACTTCACAACGGAAGGCATTGGTGCCCCCACCAGAGACATCACACACATAAGTCATGTCCTCTCCCACTCAAAGCAGAGGTGCTATATGGGTCAGAGAGGGCTTTAAACTCGGCGACTGAGAGAACACTTTTCACTCTTTACTCCACTTAGATGAGTAAGAAGTGGGTCAGGGTAACGTCCTCATTTTCAAAGTTTAAGGAAGCAAGGTGAGTTCCTGCTCCTTTTTCCGGTGTTGTTAAATGATTCTTACTCAGGCGTCCCTGATGGACCGGGGAAACCTGCAGCTTGACCAGAGAGCTGGGTGTCCTTTCCGGATCTTACCATGAGGCAAGACAGAAAACAGAAAGCCTGTTGATCACATTCTCAGTGCTGCTTCAGTGCTGCCTTGTAAAAATGATACCTCCTGCACAGCGACTTTCATCCAGAAGGATGTGAAAAGTCTTATAGGAAGAAACTCAAATTCGTCCTCCACCGAAGTAGAACAGTGCTAAGTGGCTGCCATTTTGAACCAGTTCACTGTGTTGCCAGTGAAGAACCCAGGAAGATCTTCACCAGGAGACTGGAGTTAGAACCTCTGCTCATACCGAGCGCTAGGAGACCTTTAACGTTTGCACTCAATCAAGCGATAGTATTATTTGAAGCACAGTGTACCTCTTAACTGTAGCTATAATATTCTTACATTTATATAGAGCTTTTCTGGAAACTCCGCTCAAAGCGCTTTACAGGTAGTGGGCACACCCCTCCGCCACAACCAATGTGTAGCCCCCCACCTGGGTCAGGTAATGAAGATCAGCTGGAATGAAAGCCAACAATTATGTGGGCCTCCATTGAATCAGCCATTGTATGAAACCCAAAGGCTTCAGGGCTGTATTCCAAATAGGTTTTGTTTTTTACTAGGTCAACACAACCCTTATAGTAAATATTACGTGCTTTACTCAGTTCTAATGATGAGTTTCTAGAATATATCAACAGAGTTTGTCCGGTGGGTGGGGTAAGAGGGAAGGTGGCTTGGCTGCTTCTCAAGGTCACACACAGCAAGCTACTCACAGAGACTGGAACAAGGCAACACCCTGCCTAATTCTTCAAATCTACTTTGTGTCCTGTCCTGTCCTTCCGCTAAATTTCCCCCTGTGAATTCTTTTCACAAATGGAATGCTGGAATGTGCTAGTCTTTCCAAACATGGAGCGGCAAAACCACCGACGCACTCGGACATCATTCAGAAGCTTTTAAGGAGAACCCTTTGACAAATTCTAAAAGATCGGCTATTTTTTTTAATTCACATCATTCTTGGAACACACAGAAGACCATTTGCAAGAATGGAGGACTGGATAGCTCTCTAAAACTTTAGCTAATTAAATATTAAAAGCAGAAAATAAATTCGTACTTGACTGCGGACAGCAGCAACAACAACACAAACATCATCCATTCTTCAGGCAGAGCACAGCCCCAGGCAGAAGAACATCTAATTTCCGAGATCGATGCCATCCATACTGAAAATCTTCAAACTGATGCATGCACGCACGCACACACATTCGGGTCAGTCAGGGAGAATATCACAAAAGGCTGGTTTCACACAAATCCAGTTTCTTCTTTTCCTTTAAAACGATTACAAACACCTACTTGATCACACTTTCCTGAAGCACAAATGGTTAGGAGTGTGCTTTGGAACAGAAACGGGAATTCGTTTTGGAAATTCACTTGTTTTCTCAGGATTTTGCAAAAACAAAAACAAACCGAACATTTACATCATACATCTGGGTATGTTTGAAAGTGGCAGTGCTTGTAATGATTTGTCTGTGTTTTTCTGACATTGCACAGTGCATTTTTATTTTGCATGTATTTGAAGATTTTAAAAAATCACATTTAGTCAGTGGAAAGAGAAAATATTGCACCTGTGTGTGATTTCTAAGGTTTCATGAGAATTGCAGTACCTGTTTCTAAAGTTTCATTAGAATTGCAACAACCTGTGTATAGACAGACATCGCTGTCTGTAGCGTTCGTGTAAATCTTGTACAACCTCTCTGGGAAATAGAACTTCCTGAGGTGACTCAACTGAACAGTCCATTTCCTGTTTGTAAAATAACCAAGTCCCTCCCTTGTTCATGCTGAAGTTCAGGAGAGGTGAACTCTTTCTGTTTACCAACCCAGACCACGGCAGTTTGTTTTATTACCCATTCAAGCTTGGGTAATGCAAGCTGGGCCGTGCACAACACTTTAGCAGCCAATAAATGTAGACTAAGAGTGAAAAGAGAAAAGGGGCCTAAGACTCTCGGAACATGGGGGACACTTCATTCTCCGATGGCTTCTTTCCTTGGGAAAAACAGATGGGGAGGTGCTGTAAAGGAAAGCTGGGGTGTTGGCTGGAAAATGCTGCAGTACGAGTCTGCCATACAGTGCAAAACCCTGCAAATACTCAGGCTGCAATCTTCAGGATTTACTGGCGGCAAGTTGTTTTATTGCTGTGCTGTGTGTAGCACTCAAAACCCTAGCAGAAAACAAATGACCTAAAGCAACCTAAACTGAACACCCGTGTCCCAGTGCCTCAGCAAAAACGAAAGTCTTGCAATGGTGTGCGTAGAAGCTCTTGGTTGCACCAGCCTGCGGCATTTATATCCTTCTGGTAAACAACTACGCTGTGATTCATGAGATCTGAGCAAGCTCTGCCGAACAGTCCCTATTTATGGAAAACACAGATTGCCAATACAATCAACCAGACAAAGTCAAAACTAATTACAGCAATTTGTTTCCAGAGATCAGCTTGCTCACTATGGCCACAGTCATGCCAGATCAGGATTCAGCCCCAGCTATACAGTACAGGGGAACAAGTGCCCGAGACCCTCTAGCTAGCCTGCAGCAGGGCAGAAGCCACGTTTGTTATAGAGCTTCTGGCAGGACAGATTAAAAGAGAGTGGGAGTATTTGTTTCCTTATCCAGCGCTTAACGTACAACCATATGGTTTACAGTGAAGTAACTGCCATATGCTGGTTTCAAATATAAAGAGCTTGTCATCATGCAAGACTTTCCAATTATATAAGCAGTCTGCATGAGCTCACTGTTGATGATCACCTGGTAGCCATTTCATTACACTTTCTCAAATACAGTACATTCCTGAACTTCAGTATTCTGTTTATGCATCTTCTGTCAGATATAATTCTAATACTGTTGGCTTGCCTGACTGATTAGTACCCCATCCCATTTTCCCCAACAGTACTGCCAATATACCATATTATAATCCAGGAGACTAACTGTACATAGTCTACTCCAGCGGTCAGTGGTTCTGGAGGCATGGTATGTCTGCAAGTTTTCAGTCCAGTTAGGACTGCACACAAACTGGATTTGAAGACATAGGCAGGGCGTTGCCGTGTTCCAGTCTCAGAAATTAGCTTGCCGTGTCTGATTCTGAGAAGCATCCAAGCCACCAATCATCTTATTGTCAGCTGAACTGGACCAGTGCTTCAGATTCTGCCAGCTCTTCAGGTGCTTCTGCGTTAAAGAGGCCCTCTAGGGAATCCTGATCTACCTAAAAATGTCTGTCCTCTAATGATCCTTCCTTGCTCTGGGGAAAGTGGTGCGCATCGAAAAAAGCATAAGCCGCCACACTAAATGCAAAATTAATTCAACGAAACGCAAAACATATCTTGACACCACTGTGAAGGCTTCTAATGAGGTGAGCACAGACCCAGTAACTGAAATGTTTTAAAGCTGTCAAACTGCCATCCTACTGCGGATCCCTTCTCAAAGCAACAGTTAGTCTACTTTTTCTTTTGCATTCTAATTTTTCGTTTCCTATGGTTCCTACAGACTGTTCAGGCCATTGTTTTACTTGCCAAAGGCTGCCCTGAGCGGAGCCGAACAGAACCTTCAGGAAAATGAGGAGAACAGAGCAGTGCAGCAGCTGACTGATCAGCACAGCCCGCTTCTCAGCTGCAAGAAGGCTTCAGCTTGCACTGGAAGATTCCAAGTCGGCGCTGGGGTGAGGTTTCATCGTTACCCCAGATTGGCAGAGCAAACCCTCCCCCCCCCCACACACACACAAAAAAGAGCTGTTCTCCCCAAGAGTGATGCAAATAGCACCGTGCATCTATATCACCACACATGGCTCTATTCAGACTGACTCCCCAAATACTGCCCCTGCCCTCTCCCCTCAACCAACAGGTGGCTCCTGGGCTCAGCTAGTTATGGTGCCATTGCCGGGATGCAAAATCAGCCCCCCTGAACTGACCTGGCATTCAAGACACCCCGCTTCTCGCGTGAATGTGGGGGCGATCTCACTTTCAGACCCTTTCACATGCCCTGTGCGGCAGGAGGAGAAAAAAAACAAGTCGCTCCAGCACAGTCATGACTGTCATTCATTCAAAATCGCTTCTTTTAATTAGATGCTGGTGGACATGTGGGGCTGGCGGTCACTGCTAACCGAATGTTTTTACATTTTATTTCAAATCGGAAAACCTTCAAACGATACGATTAACACCACCGCAATTCCTTCCTGCCCGTCGTCGATTCGGAGCTAATCAGCTTTTGAATGCCAAAACAACACAACCCTCCCCTTCCCCATTTCTTCCAGCAGGCTCTGTGATTGTGAACGTCTGGGAACTGACGACAACCTGCCTCTGCTTCTTCAACACACCTCAGCAGCCTCTACGGCACACCTGACCTGATGAGAAGGAAAAGAAAGCCAGCTGTCAAAAGACTCGCCGGCACAGCCACTGAGTGGGCCACCAGCAAGTAGGCGAGAGTTCACAGGAACACGTACAAGAAGATGGGGGGGAACTATGAGAGAGGAAATCAGAATCCAAATTTCCATTTCAATTAAAGGCTGCCCGTGCACCTGCTGTTCCAATCCCCTTTCCCTGCGCCGCCCACTCCCTCAGTCATCTCTCCGATTGCCCTGTCTGAAGCCCGGCACCCCAGCCCCTCAAAGCACAAGCTCGTCCTTTTTTGTGCGTTTTGTTTTGCCAGCTATCGCAAACTGCGCAGGATGCATGAATCACTTCATCAAAGTGCACAGAACGCCTCACCTCCCCTCGTACCCTCCCACCACCCTCCTGGCCCAAGATTTCAGTCCCTTTCTAATGCAAGTCTACTGCCAGCCTGCACAACAAACACCTGCCAGATAAACCGCATCTGCTCCAAAAGGCAGGTGAAATCAAGAGCTATCACAGGAAAAAGCGGGGAGACCGTCCCTGGGCACACAAAACACACGAAAAGGCAACTCCTAGAAAAAACACAAGCACACCCAGCACAACATAATATTAATAAACACGCAGTGTTACCCTGGGCACAGCTATTCACTACAGCACACAGATCCTGTCTGCTCCACACTCAGTTTTCAGTCCTGAAGGCTGGATTCAACAGCACAGGCAACAGGAGCAGGAGAAGGAGGAGAGCACTGGTGCTGAATCAGAAACAGTTTTCAAGGAAAAGCACACTCCTCGCACACAGAGACCGAGAGGGAAGGAGAGAGAGGGAGAGAGGAAGGGAGAGCAGCTAAGCTTCTTTCTCACTTTACCTGCAGGAAGCGCGAATACCCATTGCAGACAGCAGACCGGGAGAGAGCTCGCAGCTTTTGGATGAAGCCATCTAAGAGCATTTGGGGTACCAGCGCCCCTCCGGCAGCGCGAGAGGCTGGAGTGTTAGGAGCTGACGACGCTCTGACAGCCCTGACTGTCGTCAGACGAGAGAACAGCCCACCCCCCTCAGTGCTGAGCAGCCACTGGCTGGGGGAGCTCAGCACTGCATTGCAGGTAAAAGCTGAAGGGCTGGGGGGCTGCACAGCTCATTTCACAACAACGCAACATGTTTACACACGCTCACTCCAGCCGGAAGTGATGATAAAAAAGACCTTATCTGCGTCAAGCTCTTATTGGGATACAGTATGCATCTGCCCCTTTTCTTTGATTTCAATCATGTTCACGTACTGCAATTTTTCTCTGTTCTTTTGCCTATTTGTATTCAATTTGGATCATCCGTACCCTACTCTATGTCTTCAAGCCCCAAACTAGGTTCACTAAAGCCACAAGTAACTAATCCTCAAGCTTCTGGTCTTCCCAAAACTCCTTCTCCATTTTCACCCAAATCTGTGGCGCCTCTTCATCTTGAAGGTTGATTTTTAATCTTACCTATAATCTAGAGTAATATTCAGTTACATCATCAGTATCATTTAACAGATTTTCATGCAACAAAATATTAGTCTGTTAGGATGGTTCAAAGTTGTTTTTCAGCATTTTTCACAAATGTCAGTGTTCTTGTTTTCAGTAAAACAGTGGGAAAAGATATTCATATTTCAGTAATACATATAAAGACTGTGGTTGCTGTTCACTGATGCTCGCACCAGACATTGTGTACTGGGAATGATTTGACTCTGATTGGAGAAACAAAAAAGTGACTCTGCAAGCAGCACTTCCCGAATTAACGAAAAACTGTCTGTAAACATTAAGTAGTGCTTACAATGTAAAACACATTAATATACTAAAAATGTAAAATACATCAATATAAGCTTCTAACGACATGAAAACATTAGCATAATTCTTGTACAGACGAAAAACAAGAACATTGCTGGAAAGTGTGTGGTTATATAAATGCTGGGAATGCAGCCAGGTAATGGTGTATCAGAATATTTCTTTTAAGTGAGGGACAAATGACAACAAAGCCATTTTAACCAACAAAAGGGGAAAGTGGCAGGGAAGAAGGCCTACTCCATTTCCTGCTTCCATGCTTTTGGCTAGAAAACGTCCCTATACTGCAGAGAGCAAGATAATGTCCCGATTGAAAAATCAGCATGGAAATATTGTTTTTTTTAAATAAACAACTCCTTTCTGTAGTACAATCTCTGTTCTAGCCAAGTTGCTTTAAAATTCAGCCTCTGTCACTTTGCACAGAAGCAACACAAACGCCCTTCACTGCGAGTGGGGGTTCAGCTCCTTCTTACCATTCTAAAGCCAGCACGTTTGCATTCCTCTGGACAAGAGCAGACTACAGGAGGAGGAGCAGACTTTTAATTAAAAAAGAATTGTTTTCTGTCGGTGCTTAGTTGTTTAGCTAGATGAAAGTGCAGTGCAGAGTTTTAATAGTGTTAAATTAAAAGGGCAGGCCTGAGGGGTGGTGGACTGATAACTGTGCTAGGAAGAGAAAGAATATGCACAATGTCACATGACAAAATTGCAAAAGAACAATATCAACCTACCAAAATAAGTTCTACAGTCTGTGCAGCACACACCCCACCCCCTTTAGAAGCGAACAATAATATGGTTCCAAGGGATAAAAGTCAGACCCTGACGCTAGCTTGCTAAGCTAATGATAATTACTATAAAAGACTGACAACAATTACACCCCTACAGTCACATGGTTTCTTGGATTCTCCGGAACAGCTGGACAACACACTAGATAAACATCTAATGGATTTTCTATTTGTACATCCCAAAAACTGCACTAACCGTTCATGATAATAACTAACATTGTAGTTCATAGAACACCCATCCCTAACAACCATCATGCGTGGAACAACCCTAATTTGTCCATCAAAATAATTAACCTCATTTTATTATACTTTGATGTGGCCCCATCCTTCTTCACTGTCAATAAGAATGTTCTTTCTAGTGGCCTTTCTGGTTTAAGAAAGTTTGGCTCAAGTGACACAACCATATGTCTCAAATTATCAAGATCAACTTTTCCTCCTGGAAATACTTGGCAAATTATGGCAGTGCAGCTGGAAGAGACAAGCAGGTGTGTCTGGTGCATGATTTAACCAGACAAAAAAGGGAAAGAAATAATTACATGACAATAAAAATGTTTTGAATGTATTTGGTGTTAATAAAGTATCACATCCTGTATCGTACTGTATGTCAAGAATAGCACTCCTGTTGTCATGTCTCTGTAGAAGAACAGTTGACTTCCTAAAAATACCTGCACATTGATGCACTATACAGGAAACAAGCATATTTACAACTAGAAAAAAACACAAAACACAATCAAAACCATCAAAAGCCAAAGATTCCAATAGGTAACTGGGAAATTAAAATAAAAACTCACAGCTTTTTCCTGGAAAGACTTCTATCCTTTGGGGCCATAGACAAATCTATAAGAAATTGATCTTTCAAAGCTACTTAGGGATCATTTGTCCAACACCCCAAAGTTTAATCATCATGCTCCAAGGGTTTATTTCTTTTTTAAAACTTGCTTCTCCAAAGATTGAGCTCAGATTAACAGATGTCACAGTGCTACCGTAGAGTCATCAGCGGATGTAAATATTTCCCACTAGATCTTGAATGACTAACCATGTCTACAAGGGATCTCGAACAAACTCTCAACTGACGCACTTCACAAACTCACATCGCCCCCATCCCGGGTGTTCAGAAGAGACACCATCAAAGACTTAAGTTCTGGCATTCTTCCGGGCAGCACAGGGAGGATCCCCAGTTCAGTCTAAAGACCTGGACTTGTTTCAGCCCAAGATTGACAGGGCATCAATTCAACAGCGCCATTGAATCAATTCCAAAGCCCTGACTGCAAATAGTTAGGGAACTGCTGAACTCCAGTATTGTTTTCATCATTTCATTCTCTGCCCTTTTAGATTTCTGCAACAGCTATTCTTATGGAATGTATATTCCACAAAGTTATATCTCCGTATAATGAAAATAATCTTTGCCATACTCATCAGAACTTTGGAAAATGGCAGATGTAAAGATCTTGTGGGCTTCAGAGATTTAGAGCCCCAAGTGTGAATGTCTTCTGCAGACCACTTCTAGAGGAGAAGAAAACTAACTGTATTCTCCCAAAACTGACCAAGAAGCATACAGCCACCCAGGAAAGTACTGGACGAATTTTTAACTTATCAGTTTAATTTTTACTGGAGAATTTAAAAAACAATACTCTTGGGCCTCCATTATTTTAACAATATTCCATCAGTCTTCAACATTAGCTCATTAATAATGAAACTGCTGTAAAGTCTTTTTTACCCAGAATCAACAGTCACAGTTAAATTCTGAAGGCTGGAAAACTAGGTGCCCTTACAAGATTAACTGTTTAACTGGATGTTTTTTTTTTCACCTAGACCAAATTGAACAAGGATACAGACTCTAAACAGAGCATGTTCTGTAAGGAGAAAATGAAACAATTCTAGTTAAAACTCAGAGCCAAAGGGCACATGGCTCTTTGCATGACTCCCAGACGGAACGCTGTACCTGCTGTCGCGCATGAGGTTAGTACTTAGCATCACACCTGCGCCCAATGCTGGGATACAGCTGTCTTCTCGTTATGGCTAATTATTTCAATGACTTTTTTTAATTTAACCAACGGGCTGAATGCAGCACTAAGACACCCATCGCAAGAGGGTCTGACAGTCATTCCCTCCTGTGTCTGCACATGATTAATGTGTAGACAATAAGAGCTGTATCGAAAGTGACATGAGAGAGAATTTTAAACCAAATGAAATCAACTGGCCTAACTATATTTCTTGAAAATGGCACACAAAGGAGAGTCGCAAGGGTGCGAAAAAATGACGGCCAAGTAAAACTACAGCAATGCATCAGTCTACCAATACATAGGATTGTCTGAACATAATCCCTGCATTAGGACACTGCATCCGAGCCAGAGATCCCCAATCCTGGCCCTGGGAACCCACACATCTGAGACTTTTCATTCAAGCTGAGCCTTTAATTTAACAGAAACCTTAACTGAATCAACAAACTGCTTGGGTTAGAAACTTTGTAAGTTTTTCTACTAAAGGATTGGAGTTTTTAAGATGTTTAATGCAATCGTTAAAGGGCAACATGTTACATGTATAGGATCTGGAAACAATTTAAGAATTCAAATGAAACCTATAAAGGTTCAATTATTTCAACCGAGTGCAGGCGGAACAGAAACCCACAGGTCTCCAGGACCAGGATGGGGTGATCAGAACACAGAGCTTGCATGCTCTCTGACTCAATGACTCTGTGTGCAACCATGAGCATTTTCACTGTTTTAGCTGGTGTCATATAGCATACAAATCAGCCGGCAGAATTTAATCTACTTCATTACTTAAGGTGTGTGCCAGTTGCTCAGCACCGTGATAACTGGCTCCACAAGCGCTGTGATTTTTGTTACACTTCTATAACATTAATTAAATCAATGCAATTACTTCTTTGGAACTCCATCGTCCTGGCTTTGCTTCAACCTTAAAAAAAAAAAAACAGGAAGCCAATCGTGTATACAATACAAGCTGGTTGTCCTGAGCTGTGTTGGCAACAAATGACATCAACACGGTAGTAGATTCACGGTACACTTCATTTTGTGCTGCACAATGAATCTTGCACACTGTCGTGTATCAGCCATCAAAGGTGAATCCATCTCTCTCAGGTCACCGGCGCAAGACGCTTAGTTTCTGAGGAACTGAGCAGTGCTGCACAAGAATGGCTGTGTACAAAGTCACTGACTGATGTCATGCCTCCGGATAGCAGCGTTTGTTTAGGAGTGTGAAAAGCACAGCAGAGGCTCGGTCTCAGCCAGAGAAGCCCAGGGGGCGATGGTCAGATGCAGAGAGACGCGGCTGTGCTGACGCCAATCACCCACACTCACCCCCCCTGCACCCCCAGGCGATAAGGAGCTCACGCTGGGAGCGCACCTCAGCCGCGCTCTGGGGGAGCAGGCTCAAGTACAGCAGCACACAGCACGCAAACCAAAAAGGGAGAGCTGGAGGGTCACTGCACAGGCCTTAAAAAGCACAACCGCAGAATGGGCCCCTCTTGACAACTCCTGCTG